CATCATAATTTATAATCTATGGGAATACAAAGAAATAGAGCATAATGTAGATAATATGATATCTGTTATTATATATCTATATGATATATGTCATCAGGTAATATGAAAGAACTCTGAAAATTGATATAAGCTAGGAGGAAGTGTTCTATGTGTTATATGTAGCATATATGATCTTATGTGAACAAGATATGATAAGTATGTTTACATGAATAAATGTGATTGGGTGAGAAATGATAGAAATTATATGAAAACATGATATATGTGACATGAGAATGATATGAAAATGATCTACGTGTAAGTGAACTATGTGACTATGTGATAATATGAAACGAAGCTATGTGATACGTGATATGGGAAGTGAATTACAAGTTTATGTGAAATGATAAGTATAAAAGAAAATGCCCATGTTATGTGTCTTGAGAGCTAGGGGTATAGTTGGCATGCCAAGAGTAGAGGGTCTACGCGGTCCTTCGGGACAATATTCTACGCGGTCCTTCGGGATATATATATATTCTTTGGAACATGTGTGAAGTCTGGTGAGACACATATATGATCCCTAGCATATGTATATGATTCTTAAGGAATTCTATGTGGTCCTTATGGACATCATTATATGGCACTACGGTGTAATTCTACGCAGCACTTCGGTGCATTTATACGAGCTGTGGTGACAGCATAGTGCACAACCTCACAATACTCAGATACCTTAGGTTCTCAATATGATATCATGGGCCAAGAAACTCATTAATACAAATTCATGAATGTTAAAGTAATATGCTTACAGGTATGGATATTGGTGATATGAGAACAATGTATGTGATATATGTATATGATTTGTGATATGATGTTGTGTGTGTATAGTGTTTGATTGAAAAGGTTAACCATAAAAGTATGTGACTACATGATAAACTGTTAATGATGAATTATGTGTATGTATGTATTTATTGTAATTAATCTGATACGAGTTTATAGGATACAAAGAATGCATGGTATTGGTATAACATGATAGAACAGAATATGCATGTATTGATATATGTTATAAAGTGCATTATAAGTTGTTATGCCTCACTAAGTCTTCGACTTAGCGTGTGATTGTTTCACACGTAGGTTTCGAGAAGAGTAAAGAGTAATGCGGAGCAAGACAGGTCAGTTCTCCTTACCAAATGTCGGATCAGAAAATATATGTACTGTTTATAGAGTGTAGTTGGCATGTAGTCTAAAGATATAAATTATATGAACTCTGATATATTTTGTAAACGTTTTGAATAAGTTAAATGTTATCAAAGTTTTTAAATTACTCACTATTTTATACGAATAAATGTTTGAAAAGTCAATGTGACACTTCGGACTCGTATCCGGGTCGGATACGGGTTGGGGGTGTTACAGAACACTTCAAGCAATATAAATCATGTGTATATGAAGTTTCTAGTCAACAAGCATTTTTCTTGAAAACCCCGTGTCTAACACTGATCTCCGACACATGGATACGGAATATGACCTCCAAGGATCCTCCAAATACATGGAAAACCTTAGAAAAGTCTAACCATACCTGTATCATATATACATATCCATGTCTGACACTTACACCCGAGTCCGAGCAACGTTGGTGGGTACTAAGCTCAAAGGTATACTAGCTTTGAATGTCTCAACCTTCTCAATGTATCCCTCATTAGCCCTTTGAACTCCCAATACCGAAAGCAAATAAGATGGAGCTACAAGTTTCATATCAGTATCTTGAAGCATAAAAAACAATAAAGAGGACCTCACATACCATAATGCTTAAAGAATCATTTAAGAAATATTTTTGCTCCATAAGAACAACCTCCTCAAAGAATTTAGACAGACGACCTTCGACCATTTTGTCTATGACCATCTGAGACTTTCCAGTACTTTCAGCCTGACATACAAAATAAATTAGTATTCACAAAAATGAAGTCTTAAGACTGGATGATCATATGTTTATTGCGAGGATTATCCATACAATGTGATGCCATTATCCACACAAAATAATTATATATACCTGACACGTTAGAATCTCAAAAAGTGTAGTGTGATTATCACATAAAAATCAAATTGGTATCCATAATTTACAGATACCTGAGATTTTAGAATCTCGATTCATTGTTAAGTGCATCAGAGGTCACAAATTCCTTTGTTAAGAATAATGGTTTTACTGCCACAATATGCATTGCTAGCTCTGAGCCAACCTTCTGGAGGGCATCCACTTGAGAAATCTCATTCTCAGCTTCGAGAGATAAAATTCCAGCGATTCGACCTAAACCTACAACCACAAAAGAAAATTATTATATCGTTGTCGGGCCCAAATTCAATTTTTCCTATGAGGCAGTAGATAACATGTTGAAAGCTGGGGGGGGGAGGGGGGGGGGGAAGCACACGCTCCATAAAAATGTTGCCTATGAAGCAATGCAAAACTGGAAGAAAAAAAAAACACTACCTGGTTGAGGACATCTATGGAGGTAAGCAGAAATAACACCGCTTGAAGATGTTGACATCACAACGCCCCTCCTCAGTTTTATATTCTCACCTATTATTGCAGCCACTTCTGTAACTGCATTTTGAATGGTTGTCTCCCCGCTAATTTTTGGATGGTCAAGATTTAATTTTAAGTCCTGGTAGCAATAATCATGGGATTTCAGATGGCAATTCCAGTCAAAGTTGCAAAAGCGCGGAAGATTGGATATATGCTCAATAAAATACTAACATAAGTAACTTATTCTAACCTACCAGATCTTTTTACTCACAGGTTTGATGGGGAAATACATGTTTAAACAAGAACAAGCTCGTCACAAAAGTTAAAATACAGTCCAATTTTTCATACCCCTAAAAGAATGTCGGACATGCATCCTTAGATGAGATCCTAAGACAATTTATGTATGCAAAAGGGTAAAAACGAACAAAAATCTCATGCCGGTTTAATAAGTAAAAAATAACAAGCTCTTAGAATAGAAATTTCTAACCTCCAAACACTCGGGACCAAACGAAAAAACCCCATGAACCTGTTGGGAAGAGTTTTCAACCAACAAAGCTTGCTTTGCCAATGCCAAAGCCTGTATGAAACACAATATCAGTAAATTACGAGCAATAATACAGTACAAAAAGTAACAACAATAATGCAACCAATGGAAATAGAGCATAATATTCAAATTAACTGAATACAAACAAAAACTTCCAAGAATAGACTTCAAATTCAATTATGCATAAACAAAAAAATCATTGATCCCCCGGTTACCAGGTACTCAAAAATTTAATTCTTTGCAACAAAATCCGTCTCGCAAATAAGTTCGATTACAGCAGCCTTGCCCTCATTTTGGGCCAAAGCAAGCAGACCCTCGGTAGCAGCCCTTGATGACTTCTTCATGGCCAAAACTTTTCCTCTTTTCCTCAATTCTTTCTGTGCAGCCTCTGCATATACAATCAAAAACCATAATCCAAAAGGTAAACAAAAAGGGAAAAACAAAATATCAGAGCAAAACAAAGTCAGGGTATAGTATATTCTATACCAATATCCCAATTGCAATCAACAAGAGAAGCCTTGACATCCTTTATGGGAGCACTTGTTCTTTCCCTGAGTTGCTTAATAAGGCTCATTTGTTCAGCAGAAGAAGATGATGTCTGAGAGTTGAACCTTCTCGAAACCCAATACAAGTAGGCATTTTTTGAGGCTTTGGTGTTTGTTGATTGAGCAAAGGAGGCTCCTTTGGTTGCCCAAGTAGAGTATCCATGTCCACTACAAATATTCAGCCTGGTGTGGTACAATAAGGTCCCAAGTGGATGCTTTGAATTCCTGAAGAAAGCCATTTTTCTATACCCCTTATATCTTTGCTGCAAATAACAATATTTCATGAGAATTTCATAAGAAAAAGGACCTACCAGCGTTGTCGGGCGTCGGGTAAAGGAGAAGCAGGAGACTCGAGATTCAACAAAACCCTGAACCCTGAAGAGAAAAAGGCCAGGGAGCTTGTGATGCTTTGTGAAGTGTTAGATCCAACGGCCAAATTTTATTTTTCTCTTACGGCTAGGATTAATCATATCATGTTATATATAATAATAATAAAAAATCACTTTTTTAAGTCATTAAATATGTGGAGCACTATAGCAAAATCACAAAGATAATGAGATAGGAAAAAAAATTCACCTATTGTAGCTCAAACTTATTCTATGAAAAAAAGTTACTTTAAACAATAATACAAGGAAGATTCATAGAGTAGAGGGCGTCTTTATAAAGATAGGATTATGAGACGGGTTTTATATAGTTTGAGCGATATAGAAAAAGATGATTATATTGAAAGTTTTTGAATATATACAGTAAGAGAAAATATATATGTTATTCGAATGTCTTTTTAAAAATATCATCATTCAAATATATTCTATCATATACAGTAGCAAAAATAATTCTCCCTGCACTCTAAATGATAAAAATTTATATGTATTATATTATGGGGTCCAACTTTGTCGGAGCATCACATTAATATTATCACTTAGGTTATTTTAAAACAATTCTAATTAATATGGAGTGATATAATATGATTAAAAAATTATTAAATTTGATAAAATAATTACTTTCGTCTTTATTATTTATTTTTAAAATATTTTAATTTTATTTTTGGATAAAAATGTTTATATTTTAAAGTGTTTTTCATTTATTAACTAACAATTTCTATCTATAAAAGAATTTTTTTACTTGAAAATGAAATATTAAGTTCTAAAATGTTTAAAAAAATAAATATCAAAATAATTATTTTATAAATAGTAAGGGTTAATTTTGATATTATGCTAAACAATTTAACCCACAGTAATATTTCTCTTTCTTCGATCAAAAAAGAAATATTTTTCTCATACACCCAAATGACATGGGCATATGGTGTTATGCATTCCAAATTCCATAAACCCCATCTCCAACCTATTGAAGCGCCGCCGCCGCCGAATTGTGCATCACCGGTACAATCTTCTCCTCCGACGTGGCCTGTTGTCTCTTAATCTTGTTGTCTTATTGTTTCGAAAACCATTAATAACAAGACAATAAAGACTTCACTCTCAATTCAGTGTTTGGTAATGAGACTGCAATCTCTCATTTTCCGCCCAATCACTCACTTCTCTTCCAAGACCTCAAAATTGCATTCTCTCAGCAACCCTCCCTCTTCCTCCCTCAAAGATTTCTCCGTTTCCGATGAAATCCACTTCATTCTCAACTCTGTTAACCCCGTGGAACCCGCATTGGAACCTCTGCTCCCTTTCCTTTCTCCCGATATCGTCACTTCCGTTATCCGAAACCAACCCAACCCTCAAATGGGTTTCCGTTTCTTCATCTGGGCGATGCAGAGGAAGCGCCTACACAGCTACGCATCCGAAAAGCTTGTTCTCGACATGTTGATCCGCAAGGACAATGCCTTCGACATGTTATGGCAAACTCTCGAGGAAGTCAAGGAATGCGGAGTTGTGATCGCGCCCAACGTCTTTAAGATCTTGATCTCGGGGTATTGGAAGATGGGTTTCGAGGAAAAAGCCGTGGAGTGTTTCGAGAAGATGAAAGGTTTTGATTGCAAGCCTGATTTGTTTACTTTCAATGCTATATTATACGTTTTGATTCGTAAGAAGGTACTTTTGTTAGCTTTAGCTGTTTACAATCAGATGTTGAAGTCTAATCATACGCCTAACAAAGCTACTTTTAGTATTTTGCTTAATGGCTTGTGTAAAGACGGGAAAACTGAGGATGCACTTAAGTTGTTCGATGAAATGACTCTGAGGGGTATAGATCCAAATAGGTGTATATATACCATAATCATTTCGGCTTTGTGCGGAGCTGAAAGGGCTGATGATGCTTGTAGGTTGTTAGGTAAGATGAAGGAGAGTGGCTGTTCCCCTGATTTTGTTGCTTATAATGCTTTGCTTCATGGGTTTTGTGAGTTGGGTCGGGTTGATGAAGCTATAGCACTTTTGCAGTCTTTTCAAAAGGACGGCTTTGCACTCGATTTACGCTGTTATAGTAGTTTTATTAACAGTTTGTTTAAAGCTAGGAGATATGAGGAAGCCACTGAATGGTATACAAAGATGACTGAGGAGAATATTACGCCTGATGTCGTTTTATATGCAATCATGCTCCAGGGTTTATCAAAAGCAGGCAAAGTTGATGATGCAATGAAGTTGTTGAATGAGATGAATGAAAGAGGTTTAGTTCCCGATACCTACTGTTACAATGCTGTGATTAAAGGGTTTTGTGGCATTGGTCTTTTGGATCAAGCACGTTCCCTTAAGCTTGAGATTTCAAAACATGATTGCTTTCCTAATACCTGCACTTACACGATTCTCATTAGTGGTATGTGCAGGAATGGGTTGGTTGGGGAGGCTCAGCAAATTTTTGATGAGATGGAAAAGCTGGGATGTTATCCCTCAGTTCATACATTTAATGCTCTTATTCATGGACTTTCTATGGCTGGTCAGCTTGAGAAAGCAAACCTTCTGTTTTACAAAATGGAAATAGGGAGAAATCCTTCGTTGTTTCTTTGGCTTTCTCATGGACCCTCACGAGTTCTTGACAATTCAAGCCTACGAACTATGGTCGAGCAACTTTATGAGTCTGGAAAGATTCTTAAGGCATACAGGATTCTTATGCAACTCGCTGATGGTGGGAATGTACCCGACATCTTTACTTACAACATATTGATCCATGGGTTTTGCAAAGAAGGCAACATTAATGGTGCTTTCAAGCTGTTCAAGGAGATGCAACTCAAGGGGATTTCTCCTGATAATGTGACCTATGGAACTCTTATTAATGGTTTCCAGAGAGCTGGAAGAGAAGATGATGCCTTTAGAATCTTTGATCAAATGGAAAAGAATGGGTGTAAACCCAGTTTGGCAGTTTATAAATCACTTATGACTTGGTCATGTCGAAGAAGGAAGGTTTCATTAGCTTTTAATCTTTGGTTGAAATATCTGAGCAGCCTTCCTGGTCGGGAAGATGCAGTTATCAAAGAAATTGAAAAACATTTTGTTGAGGGAGAAGTAGAAAAGGCAATTCTGCATTTGCTCGATCTGGACTTCAAATTAAATAATTTTAGTTTAGCACCCTATACAATCTGGCTTATTGGGTTCTGTCAAGTAAGAAAAGTTGAAGAAGCTTTGAAGATATTCTTTATTCTGGATGAAAGAAAGATTACTGTCCCCCCTCCTAGTTGTGTAAAGTTGATAGTTGGTCTGTGCAAAGAAGGAAATTTGGACCAGGCAGTTGATCTGTTCCTATATACACTAGAAAAGGGTTACAAATTAATGCCTAGAGTTTGCAACTATTTGCTTAGGTCTCTTCTTCGGTCTAAAGATAAACAGATGCTTGCCCTTGATCTTTTGAATCAAATGAACTCTCACAGATATGATTTGGATGCATACCTTTATGGATTTACCAAGTCTCTTTTGTATAGACATCGGGATACATGGAAGATGAGATGTCTGGCACCAGGATGAATTTTCAACTAATGTGACGTGAAGGTTGCAGAATATATATCTTTTGGCTACTGTAGAGGCTTTTGACTCAACTTATTCAGGATTAATGTGGCTGATTCCTATTTTAGGATCAATACTGGATTTCATTGAAATTGGCTAAAGAGGCTTTTAGTTCAGAGTAATGATCTTTCAAGCCTGAACTTCGCCAATCTTCTGTTTGCATGATTTCATCATGTAATCCTTGTACAACAAGGACCAAGGAGCCTGTCACATTTTTCTTTTCATCTCTCTTTTGTATACTTTTCTTTGATTTCAATACTGGAGTTCAATTTTCAGTGGAGTGATTCAAGAATAACAAGAAGTTTTTGGAAAATGGATGGCATCAAACTTTTGTATGCATCCTTGTGACTGTACACCGATTTAGTTTGTAAATTTAATTTGTCAGAAAAGTAGGAAAAGTTCATCTACATGAATAAAAGCTGCTTCACCGTTAATTAATTGCCATCATCTTTCTTTGTGAATTTTCTCTTTAGTTTGGCTTATAATTGTGTTGCAGGGTTTCTAATTGGTATTTTTAAACTTGTTTACCATGTGATGAAAAATCGGTGTGACTATTATTACATTTTATGCTATTTTAACCTCCTTTTTTACTTTCTTCTTTCAGATGGTTGTGGTTTGTAAATGATGTTTATCAACTTGTTGGCCTATATTACTACTTCTGATGCTGAATGCTAATAATTTGTGAATGGCATATGATGTAATCAATCATTCAGATAACGCAATGTTTTTCTTGTTCATCTCCTTATATTAAGAGGAGCTGTGACTGCTCTGTACATGCTCAATTTTAATGATCCAGATATGTGTTTCCTAGTACCTGGTCTTCTTTCCTCTGTTGTATGCTTTGCCGCAAACTGAAACTTGAGGAAGGGGAAGGAAATACAGAGGAATTCTTTGAAAGTCCCAGATGCAAATGAATGGGGGTTTGGCACTTAGTTAAGTTGCCTTTTAATTTTTGTTTCATTTTGGTTGCTGTTTTTTTTCTAGTTGACTCTTGTGACAGGATACTCCAGATTTAAGTGAACTCTGCATATCAGCTGCTGGTAGCACTTGAATAAATTGATATAGGATTATTGAGATGGAAGAGGAAAAAGTAAGAAGAAGAATTTCAGCAAAGAGCCTACTAGTGGTCTCAAGAGAAAATAAGCAGCCATGAACAAGAAGGACGAGGCAGCAAGTATATAACATTTTGGAAGTAATCAGACTGAAGAAGTTGCAGGCAAGAGATACATCTAATGTTCTGCAGAGAATGTCTTAATTTCTTCCCTCACTGGTATTGAGGCGGAGTGATCTTTCTGGGGAGTAAGTTTTTACTCTCTAATGGTGATCAAAACAAAGTTTGGTGATATGTCGGTCTCAGGTAAAAAGCAGACAGTCATGAGCAAGGTATTTGGATGTACTGCATTGTTGTTCAGTTATGTTTATGTTTGATTTGCATGTTTTGTGCCTTGAACTAAACATCTATTATATAAATTGTTCGATTGTTATAACCAAATCATGAGTTCTCATTAGTCCTAGCAACTTTGGATACGATTCAATAACATGATGTGAACAGAGCATGAAAATGTAACACAAATATGGTAGGAATCCATGAATGTGCCATAATACATGAATTATTATGCTTGAAAATATACAAAAACGACAACAGTTCACAAATTGTCAGGTCAGTTGCTATTGCTAGCTGCTGTTTTAGAGGAAGTTACAGATATGGGTGACCCATATGTATATAAAATGTAAACTGCTAAACAAAATTATGACGCATGCAAATATATGAACATGCTAAACTGTTTTAGAGGAAGTTACGAATTGTCAGGTTGGTGCTTACACTAGCTGTTTTGTCAGGAGAAACTGTAGTTGTGAGTGATCCAGATGCATAGGATAGATTTTAAATTCCTTTTGTGAGTAAGAGTTGAAAACTAGCTTGTTTTTCCAAGGTAGTTTAAGCAGTTGGTATAGGAAGCTGTGGAGATTCATTTTGTTGAGCAATTACCCAAAGAAGCAAATTATATCCTAACCATTCTTTACTGATTTGTTGATATTCTATCTTTAACTTTTTAATATTTTTGATTGAATGCAGATCTAGAAGCGTTCTATTATTTGGACGATGCTGTTGGCTAGGTACATTTCTTAAAAGTCAAAAGTTACCTGCTTGTTGTGCTTTCATGATGTCTCAAAGGTGGTGGTCGTTGTTAGGTTGTAGTCGCATCTAGGTGTGCTTGTGCTTGTGCTGTGTGTGCATCAAGTGTTATTGTGGCAAAGCATGTTATTGCCTCAGCACCATGGTTTTTGCAAATTAATCTGAGAAGGTCAAGGATACTGAAAGAGCTCCTGATGCCATTCCTTGTGGTGTTTACCCCTATTTTTCTTCCATTGGTATATATGCAATTTCTTTCTTAATTCTGGTATCATACAGGTCAGCTTTTAAGAATTTTTAGCCGAGTTGTTTTGGACTTCGGGTCAGCGATTTCACCTTCTATATTACCCCCTTTTTTTTCATTTATGACCTGCTTAATGCTTAAAGTATACTCATTTTGTTGACAATGGGTCCTTTGTAATAATATGATCTTTGAGTCATTTTTCATATTGGATGCTTCTATCCATTCTAATGTTCGTGCAATATGTACTCATCGGCAGGCAACACCCCAAGTCCTAAACATTCATTGAGTTAAACTGTGTTATGAAAAACTTGCTGAACTAGTAATCTGACACTATCTTTGTGCTTGGATGTGTTGTATTTCTTAGCTTTGACCTAGAGGAGTTAAATCTATTTATATAGACATGTAACATGCAGGATTTCTCCAAGAATTCACTATTGCTTTCGTCACCTGCCTCTCTATAACTCAAAGAATTGAATAGGAGTTTTGATGAGGACGAAAGTGATGAAGTTGAGTGCAACAAAGCCACCAGATTCAACATTTTCATGGCTTCAAAGAACGACTATTTCAGGTCAATATGCTGAGTCAGTAACAAGTACTAAACCGATGTATAGACTTTCATGATGAATCCTCTATCATTGTCGTGTTCGGTATGCAGTATAAATATTTGAGTACAATGATAATGGCATCCTTCTCTAGGTAAATCCTTTCAACAATGTTGAGATTTAAGAATACAAAGTAGAATGTTGAGTTTTCAGGTTAACACAGCCCGTGCAAGTGAAAAAAGAATAGAATGATGTAAATTTCCACCTGTAAGCTCGTTCTAGGATGACGAGTACTGAACTCTGTTAGCCTCTAACATTACTGATACTTCATTCTCTGCGTCGCAAACTGGCATGAATTGAGCTTCAAGATCAGTGATAACTTCTTCCATGCTTGTTGGCATTTGGTCTACATAAACGGTAAAACCAGGTGTTTCGTCTTTAGCTTCGTCACTGACATTCGCCATCTCTTTCTTTCCGACTTCAACTTGTCCTGCAGTCTATGCTCATTTTCTCGTGCTTGTTAATCATTTACTTCATGCTTATTTTCTCCGTTTCCGCCTCGTCTTCTTCATCATCGACATCTCCAACAGTAACTTTTATCTACTATAGTTTGTATTTGTTTTAGAATTTTCTTATGCCAAATTCATCTTAATCTTGGTTTCTTCTTGTTCAGTTTTATATTCTTATAAATCGAGAATTCCTTTTTCCTTCCGGACATGCCTTACTCCTCCGATATCATCATCCATAACTCCCTGATCAAGACTGCTTTGGTTGGCATAGCCAATAGTAGTCCAAGGATGAAAAAGTATTCCAGAAAAGGCCCATTGTGATGTTTGAGGTGAAGGCAGAGGTATATTCGGTCTATCATTTTGAGAATAAGAATAGAACGATGAATTCATCGGAGACGATTGCATTGCAAAAATACCATCATCACCAAAATGGTGTACTGGTGAATAAGTTTCAATTCGGATGGTTTGAAGTGATTGAGATCTCTCAACTGAAGCCGCTGGACCGCCACCTGATCTAAGCTAATTTACTTTCAATGCGGACTTGGGATTCGATTGAATCACTGCTGGGGAGAAGGACGAGGGCGAAACTAATACCAGGGCTAGCTTTCTTCAAGGGAGTGAAAGACGGTGTTATAAACGAATCTAACAACAGCTGTGGAAACTCTTTAAAGATATTGTGATTTTTAAGGAACAAATCACGTCCGCTACAACCGTTATGCATTGATTATTTAGTATAAACTACTTAAGGTTGTGTTGAATGTTTTCTTAAATAAGGTTACATAAGAGGAACAACAATAGGAGCAGGTGGAACCCATTGTTGAGTAGGTGAACACTCCCAGACACTTTGCTATAACTCAAACTGAAATGCTGGGGAACCCAAGTTTTTCCTTTGGACTCCATTCCTCTCGACGCCTCCCTCTGGTTTTCCTTGACTGCATTCTTCGCTTCTTTCACTTTCTACCAATTCCGACTCATTATGGCCTCACTTACATTGCTCCACACGGCTGCTGATTCGGTCGATTCCACCCGCTAACAAAACACAAAAAAAAAATTCATTCCTACAAAAAAGAAGAGATTTATTTCTTTTCGTTCATTAAGGAATTTACCTGCAGATCTTTAACTACAGAAGTTCACAGCTCTGAATACACTTCTTCTGCATTGTATATAACCCTCAACTCCCCGCTATTATTGTCCTTTACTGTCACTGTTCTGCATTCAATACATATGAGATATTTAAAGGAAGCTGATAGGGAAAAAGGAGAATATTTAAATACCTATCCCAATGGCCATCAAGTTCGAAAAGGATCCTCTTTGTTGATGTTTCAAAGATCTTTCCTTTAAGTGATCTGTGGCTTCGTCTAAGGCCAAGAAAAGACTTGGGTCCGTATTGTAACTCGGCTTCGAACTCGGTTTCTTTGCACCCGACTCCAACATTTCCAGCCCAATCAGCTCCGGGCAGCGGAAGAAATCTTATCAAAAGGTTGGGGGAGTTCATTTCATACGTCTCGCCTCGACTCGAGAGCTTCAGCTGCCTCTTCCCTCGGACCTTGACGTCCACTGAAGCACCTACAATAACATCATTATCATTAAACATAGACAAAAGCATTTTTATATATAAGCCAATGACATACGAAGATGAACACGAACACGAACCAGTGAACTTTGAGATGCATTGTTGACACCAGATGAGTTCAATGTTATGTTCCTTCGTCAGTAGCATGCAGTGCCGAAACCGGTAGATGGTGAGAAATCTGTTTTCAAATTTGGAGTAAAATGAAACAAATAATCACGCGAGGGAGCAATAAACCGAAAAGGCTCACCTGCTCGAGGACGACATTGAGAGTGGCCCTCGAGACGTGATGAGTCTCACCGAGAACTAGATTGAAAGGGACGACCCCGAATACTAGAGGACGAGACGCGGATATGCTAAAAGCCACGACCGATAAGAATCTTTCGAGGGGGTTGTCGGGAACGTTACATCGGGTCAGAAGCATGTCGGCGCCGGTACAATACACTTGTTCTCCATAGCACTGAAGATGTGACTAGGGTAAGTTGAACAGAGGTGGTAGCTGAACCAACACAATCACGGCATTAATTCATGTCTACTACAGAAGAACTCTATATCAAATAATTAAATGAACTCTACGTCCCACATAATATTATAAAACAATATTATTCTAATGAAAAGGGAATCCAATAACTAACCTTGAAGTGGGTGAGATCAGATCCTGGCCGTACATTCTTGAAAAGAGAGAGTGTTCTTTGGATCAAATTGGGAGCCCTGTAATCAGCTTCTGATTCACCATCTATTGAAAGTGGCTTTGTAAGAACTACTTTTATGTCTTCCTTGCTTCTTGACTGCCCACATCAAAGTCTACCATCAATAATATTAATAATAAAATCAACTGCACGTTAATCCAGCGATCTTACAATAATGATGCTAATCAAATTAAGACTCAACCGATCTTATAAAATCAATTTATACGATTATTTAGCTATTTGTTTTACCATTTTTAATTTCTACTACAGAACTAATTATGTTTTTGGTGTTAGGCAATGAGATATGGATTATTAGTTCATATATTGTGATTGTTTTAAATTTCTACACATAATCTTAATTAATTATTAAATATTGTTAATTAAAAAATTAAATAAAAACATAAACAAAATAAAAAAATTCAAACATAAACAATAATATATATATATATATATATATAAATGAATTTAGGGTAAACTACTGACTTAGTCACTTTCGTTTGAGTTTTTAAATTTATAGTTATTGGATTCGAAAAAAATATAAGTTTTGGTCACTTAAGTTATCGTTTTATTAAGATTTGATTACTGAGACGTTAGCTTTCGTGAGTTGGATGATGGGACACGTTAGTAACAAGGTTTAATTTTTATTTTAACCCTTGATCTTTAGATAAATTACTAATTATGGGTCTTTTTATAAATCTAAAATAGTTTAGGGATAAAATATCAATTTACCCCTTTTTCAATATGTTTTCTTCCCCACCCTATTATCTCCGCGGCTTCCTTTGCTTCATCTATAAACCCTTTTCTTTCTCTCTCATTTTGGCTTTAGCATTTTCTTCCCCCAAACATTTCTTCTTTTTATATGAATCACCTGTTCTTCTGAAAAATGGGTTATCTTGAATCAAAAAAAACACCTAAAAGAGAAAAAAAAATGAGAAAACAGACAGAAATAAGAAAATGGCTATCTTTTTTTTGTAATGGAAGTGAAGTTACCAGAGATTACAGAGAGGAGACGCTCACATCTCCTGAGAAACTCCCAATGGAGATGGGTTTTCAAACCGAGTCTTCTTATGATGTGATCGAGAAATGAAAGCGGTGTAATTGGGTGCATCTTCCATTTCAGAGTGGAGAGTACCAAAAGCTCCATTCTTTGTATTGTTTTGGCCTTGAAAACGTAATTTGTTTCCTCAACTTGCAGGTCTAGAAGGAGAGGCACTTGTGTTTCTTCAACTTTTGCAGCCAAAGAGACAAGTGACGGCTACGAGTTGGATCATCCAAGGCTTATCGCTTTGAAACTCGAAGATACACAGGAACCTATCGAGATAGTTAATGGAGAGAACAGCTGTGTGAGTGGTGAACCTGTAGCGAGCATTGACTTTGATCGTCCACTCCAAGGCCTCACGCCGAACCATTGCTAGATACTCAGCGATTCCCACGTCGAAACAAGGTGGCTGCTGCTCTGTTTCTTTAGTGAAGAGTGAATGAAGCTCCTCGTCTTCCCAAAACAAATCTTGCTCCAAAAGTAGGGAAAACGAAGGGTTCCCGCCATTGTTATATCCCATGGAAGAACTCTCTTCTTCCAAACCTTCACCTACATCATTTCGCTTTCGTCCCATTTCTCTTCTTCGCAGTAGAAAGTGTCTAGCAGGAACGAAGGGTGATTGTTTTGTTGTTCATATTGCTGTATTGCCATCTTCTGAGTGGAAGAAGAAGGGTTTTTGAGTCCAGGTAACTCAGTATGGGAAGGAAAACATCCATAAATGAAAGGTAGTAGGGAGACCCATCTCCGTTTTACTGGGTTTTCCTTGAGGTGAGCTGTGGCTGGGAGTGTAGAGAGGATGATAATATAGGCATAGAAGAAATAATGAAATCAAACTTCATACGCCAGGGGTTTAGAGATGAAGCGGGGGAAGCGGCGGAGAAGATAGGGCTGGGGAAGAAAACACTGGAAAAAAAAGGAGCAAATTGATATTTTATCCCTAAACTATTTTGGATTTATAAAAAGACACCTGATTAGCAATTTATTTAAAGTTCAAGGGTTAAAATGAAAATTAAACTTTTTTACTAACATATCACGTCATCCAATTCACGGTAGCTAACGTCTCAGTGACCAAATCTAATAAAACGACAACATAAGTGATCAAAAACTTATGTTTTTTTAATCCAATGACCATAAATTTATAAAACTAAAACGAAAGTGACTAAATCAGTAGTTTACCCATGAATTTATTACCGGAAAACATTGTTCCGTATCTACAAACTCAGTTTTAGATAATGGAAATGAAGAATAATCCAAGTTTAACGAATATATGCGCATGATACAGTGGGTGTAATGGAGAGAACAGATAGAAACGTATCATTTGAAAGGAGGAGATGAGAATGATAGAGCATGATATAGCCAGAGAGGTGTGATCTGCGGGAGAAGGGGATGAATGGAATGGATGAAGAAAGAAGAGGGCTTTAATAAAGGGTTTTTGATAGTTGAGACACCGAGGGAATAAAATATTCACAATAATTTTTTGGTACCAAAATGGTTTTATTTCGAGGCAAAATTGGCCAGTAAGGTATGTAGGTTTTTTATTTAGCCCTTAGTTAAAATTTATTTTGGGATCTATTATCTTTTCTACAGTAACATGAAACTCATCACGTTGAGATGATGAGTTTTAATAAAAATATTTTTTATTCTAATTTTTATTTCGATTACCCTAATAGGCTAAATAAAAAATTTGTTATCTTTATTGGGTTAAATCAATCTTATTTCAAAGTTTTCGTTTTCATTCGGTATCACCTTATCTCCCTCTTTTATTACATTTTCTTCATTTTTTAAATATTTTTATACTACTTTTGGGTGACATTTGATTCGCCAACAATAACTTTATCAATTTTTTAAAATTGTATTTTCACGTTTGGTTCGCAAAAAAATATTATTATCAGATAATAATTTATTGCCAATAATAATATTTTTTGTTTAAAATGATGAAAATGTCATTACCTCTAAATTTTTGGGTAATGAGCAATATTTACTACTTTGGACATAAATACCCTTAAAATAGTGAATTCTTTTCGTATAAATCCTTCTTAATTCTTATTCTATGTGATTTACTTAAAATTATAAATTTGATAATAATAATAATAATAATAATAATACTATACAAAGAATTTAATTTAATAAAATATTAATAAATGTGAGTAGTTAAAATTATGTTAGATTTTTAATATTTAGTATATTAATCATTTTATTATTTTATGAGGTGAAAATGTTATTATTATAAAAAATGTAATTATTTAAAATAATATTTAATTTTGAGTTATTAAAAAATATATTTTATACATTGAAAAATAATATATTTATTCACTCGAGACTACAATATTATTTTTATATTATATTATATTTCATATAAATAAATATGATACTTATAAAACTTATTTAAAAATATAAGTTCGATATACTAATTATATTAATTATATGCTAAGTGTATTTTTTTTTCTTTAAACTTAGATAGCATAACAATAAAAATATTTTTATAAATTTTCATTTAAATATTTATAATTTAATATTAAAGTTTAACTTGTTTAGAAAGAACATATATCACAATGATAATATAGTAAAATATGCATTCAAGAAATCTTATATTCCTCCAACCAAACACTGTAATCTTACATTCCTGCTTAATAAACCAAACAAGATAATACAACATTTCTAAAATAATGTTACATTCCAATAATCTTATTCTCAAAGATAATCTTACATTCGATAAGTCTACTAATATCATTTATCGACAATAATATTTTGTTCTTCTTATAGATAAGTTTGAACAATTATATTTGTAAGATATGTATGCGTTTATTATTAATTGACTATAAAAATTATAGGGTTGATAAGCATATGGATAATATATCGACGCGTCCACGTTAACTTCCCAATCGATGTTGGCTAGTGACAGTGAACCTCTGCTTAATCTATTCGACGTAATAGACGCACAACAAAAAGACATTCAACATCACAATAGACATTTTAAAAGTATAAGTATCGACGTCGGGTCAAAGTACATGTACCATTTATGATGTTATAGGAGTTGTAAATAAAAAGGAGTAAGAGATCAATATATGTCACCGAGTCTTTACTTCGGATCCGATGTCTGAACCCCGTGGCGCTTGAAGAATTCTCTAAATCCGTAAGCACTGAGATCATAATTGAACTGGATTTTATAGATGAAAGAACAGAAACCAATTAGGATATCGAATAGGAACGATGAACACGGAGAAGAAACTCATGACTAAAGAAAAGAATACTGCTTCGGCAAAACGTATGTATATTCGTTTTTTTACCAGAATTTATATGCATATACGATTGTGAAATTCTAGATCATTTTCTGGAAATAACACTCGTATCGTTATGACACCAAGTGACCAATCCATGAAACTAACAATGAGCACGTATATGCAATTTAATGTACAGAATGCTCACAAGCTAATATATGAAAAGCATTAACATAAGGACCTTTTCTTGCAGTATCTATTTATGTATATATAAGCAGATTAAATGTGTGAAAGTTCATCTGAACCAAGTTGTCATACTGAAACATATTGCAAAGCAAAAAATTCAGAACCGTTGAGGGTACCAGTGATGCTAACGAATTTTAGGGGTAAGAGGATAAAAAAAAAACTCACAGGTAGAACTTTTACAGAGTATCTTGTGATATTTGGATCAGCAACCCTCCCTTGGTTTACAGCCTGCAATAGAATTTCTTATTAAATGATAACAATGGAAATTGGACACCATATGTGGCAAGATTTCGACATCAGTATCTCCAGCAAATCATTTGCTACAAATTGACAATATTCAACATCCACAAACATGCAGGCATGAACTCTGACATTATTACAAATAGTAGACTCCAACATACACTACAACATAGGTTATGGATTAAAACATATTTTGCACTCATAAGATTCATTTGACTGCAGCTTAACCAAACCCCATATCATATCCCAACTGATAAAATGTACATTCATATTTGTTACTGGCCACAAGATGGAAATAAGAGGTTCGTAATTTCAAATTTGTTTTAATTTGGAAGTTAGCAGAAAGCAAACACTAAAGAAAAACATGCTGTGGTGGCTTTATTCTTGTCATTAACACTTTATAGCAATAGCTTAGCCTTCTTTGTTTTGACTTTTGGTTCTTTCCTACACCAACACACTGTCCCAAGTTTATGCATCATTTTTCTCACAAAATTACATGCAAAAACAGAATATACGGGAGCTATTTTTTCATTAACTTGGAAAAGAGAAGCAGTTCTGGTTATTTCTTTTCCTTCCCTTCCCTTTATTTTGCTTCACAAGATAAGTTGTTCATATAGATCATGACCAACAAGGGTGCAAAGATAGCATAATTTCATGCAAAACCTTCACAAGCAATGAGGTTTTGCAGGAGCAAACCAGAATGATTTGGCTATGTGCTCTGATTCTATAAAGGCCTACTGATTAAGAAGCCATAACTGAATCAGAAAAAGCACGGAGTAGAAAGTGCAATAGACAAATCTTATTCAGGTTATTATAGTTTTAGCAACTTTTAGGCTTATGGATGTTATACAAAAATCATGCATTCCTTGAACAACTCCGAACTAGTCAACATTAAGTTCTGGATACTTTAACCAGTTACAACAGACCACAACAAGCAAATAGCACAGTAGAGGTAGAAAATAGAAATAAAGAGAAGTAGCGTACTTGCTCTGGACTATGAAATATTTCAATGAATGGATATTCCTTCTTCTGTCGTGTTATACAAAACCCAGGATATTTTGGGCACTCAACCTGGAAGGAGAGAGCACAAGAAAAAACTAAGATGTGAGTGTAAGGAAAAAAAAGTAAACTAACATATCGTAAGTTAGCACAAATACCATCACCATATCACAGTCATCACTATAAAAAAGGGGTTGAACTAAAGTGCAATGGTAGTTTGGGTACATAAAAGCTCTTTAGAAATGGGCTTGATCAGGGGATTATGCCTCTTCAATTTCAAAAATCCCATTCCCTGATCCCCAAGGTCCAAATCCAAGGCTTCAAAGTCGAAAGTAGGTGGATATTAGCTTATGTTGGACAAGTGTTTTTTCTAAGAACAGCTGCCCTATGATGATAGTAACGACCGGTCACGTTATCAGAAGGAAAAAGGAAAAATTACGCGCATAAATTTAATATTCGGATAGAACTCAGCAGCAGCTTCCTCAAGTACTTTGTCAAGATGCTTTGTGTAGTTCCCCCTGCGATTTGAAAAACAAATATATAAAGGGTGAGCCAGGGAAGTATACAAACAAGTGTGAAAAAAATATAAGGGCTTTGGGGTTTTAGATAACCTAATAGTGAATGCAACAACAACTGGACGACCTTGATGAAGGAGCTGCACAAATTCACGCTCGGATGTGAAATGGATAACCCGTGACGGCCCAAGGTCTTTGGGATAACCAGTATAATACCTTCAAATCATTAACCAAAGTAGAAGTGTTATTCAAATGAAAATTGAATCAAAATTTGCATAAATAAAGATAAATGAAAAACAATCTTACTTGCAAGATGAACGAAGGTGCGTGATCATTCTATCAAAAAACGATTGCTCCTCCATTTTTGGAATGACAAGATGATGAATCTGAGTCACTAAACCAGAGTCTTTAAATCATTCCAAAGCTGAATGTATTTATTTTACTACACAGTCGTCTCAAAGCTCATGATATCAAAAAACTTGCTTTCAAACAAGAAGAAGATGAAAAGGAATACGATATGCAAAAGGACGATGGAGAAGAACATAAAGTTGGGACTGCTAGTATGGCAGAGACAGGGAAAAGCTAACAAAGAGCAATAGAAGAAGTATACTAACCTGGGTTTGTGTAATGAATAATGGAGGAAAATCTTTTGATTGGCCCGTATTTCAAAACACAAACAAAGGGCTCCAGTTTTCCGCCATTAACAAAAGAAAGATTAGCTCCGCTGCATTTGGTTTGGTTTGTGAGGGTAATCCATCTCCAAAACACAACTTGGACTACTCTTCTACTGGATCTTAAAACTAATTAAGCCCAGATATTGTGAATAATTGGATTTTTTTTACTGAAAAGTTAGCTTCAATGTGTACATTTTTTTGTTAGATTATCTTTTAATTTATTAAAAATTAGATTTATTTATGAATATCGTTTTATCATTCAAATATTATTTAAAATTTTTGAATCAAATTGAATTTATAAAATTCAAGTTGAATTAAATAGACTTGTTCTAGTTTTTGTTTAAATTTAAATATAATTATTTATAACGATATAACACCAATTGATTTCAATTTAAACGATTCTCTAATTATATATGATATAAATATGTATTTATTCATAATTTTTCACGTGTGTAAGTAATATTTGTAATGTTGTTTAGTAAATTAAATTTCATCTAAAATTATATAATGTATTTAGGACGTTATTTTTAAAAACAAATAATTTTGAGGATAAAGTTTTTATAGGAGAATAACGGAGTCAATGAATTTATGTGAATAAAGAATATGTAAAGATATATAATTAAAGGATAAAATTGAATGTAACATAAAGTTGAAGGACTAAATTTTAAAAAAGAAAAGAAAAGTTTGTCATCAAAAAGAGAATTTGAAGTTGTATAAGAATTAAAGTGATCGAGGATCGTGTGGTTCAAATTTGATAAAAATAGACCTAAAACAAATGAATAATTATATAAATAAAGAAATCATGTAAAGTTAAGTGACTAAATTGTAAATAGATTAATTTTATTGTTAAAAGTGGAATTGAAACTACAATAGTATTATACATTGATTGAGGAGCATGCTATTAAAATTTTGTATTAAATGAACTAAAAACAATGATGATTAAATAAAAAATTTGGGACCAAACCGTTATAATATTCAAATAACTTAGCTAAAAATCAAAACAATGTCATTTTAATTTTTAGTTTTTTCGATTATTTGTATTTTTCAAATTCAAACTCTACCCAAAATCGAAATTCGAATAAAAAAATAAGTTGACTAGAACAACTCAAACAACACGAATAACTCAATACTTTAAAAATAATTTTTTTAGTTGAATCGGGTTTTGATCACATATACCCAATACAATGAACGTTTTTCATGTAGGGATGGCAAACGGGCGGGGCGAGTGTGGATATTGCTTCCCCATTCTCATACCCACATAATATTTTCGTATCTACCACCTACCCACCACCCATAACAGGTAAAATTTTAAATTCACATCCACCCATGCGAGTACATTCTCAAAACCACCCACTACTGAACTGGACACTCACCACCTATCACGTACTCGTTTGTACCCGTTTGTACTCACATAACAGCAACTTCAAATATTACATAAGCAACAAAATATAAAACAAACACGTCTCTTAAGAAGCATGATAAAATGTTTATACCATAATATTTGGTTAAATAAATGTTTATACTCTAACATGCTATTAAACTACAAGTCATATTCTATAAAATCTTAAGATTTACATAATAATATCTGAAATTATATATAAATTCATAATGATCCAAAATTTATATGACGAGAAGTTAGTGAGTGGACAAATGTAGAGCGGGTAAGATCTCAAACCCATCACCTACCCACTACCCAAGACGGATATAACTTTTTACATCCACACTCGCTCACTACACACTAAACTTATACACATCTTCACCCCAATTAAAGTAGTTGCGGTGTGAAATATATGAAATTGTATCAGTCTACCATCCCTATTTTCATGTATTACTCATGTAAAATTTTCATTTACCTTATTGACAATATTTTTACTCATCTAATTGACGAAATTTGCTAGTCGATGACTTGATTCAAACCAAATTGAAAGTCTAATTATTTAATTGATAAAATTTTAATTTAATTATAAAAATAAAATTGATCTAATAATTTAATGATCTTAGAGATAATTCACCCTAAAAATATCATAATCTCGAAAGTTAAAATAGTTTAATATTTAAAAAAAAAAAACTTCTTTTAAATTTTAATTTATGAGTAGTAAATATGCTAATGGGATGAACTCTCAATCGACAATGTGATATTATATTTTAAAAAATTATATATTTTATAAATACAATTCTTATGAACTTCTGTTAGATTCGTATTAAAAATTCAAGTTTATATTAATTAAAAAGTTAACGTGAATATCATTTTTTAACTATAAAGCCTCTTTTTGATGACAACCAACTGATCAATTGACCTGGTTGTAATGTTTTGAAATTCAATCAAACATTTACAATATACTAATAATTGAATGACTTACGGTGTAATTTATGCTTGATTTTAAATTCCAATGTAGGGACAAGTTTGTTTTGTCGAGTCCAAGAAACCAACCCATCACCGTCTAGCCTTACCCGCTAAATGTAAATATTTTAATATCATTATTGTTATTAATGGCGATTGATGATGGTCAAAAAAATTTAGTACTAAAATCAATTATTTTTTAAAATTTAATAGTAAAATTGATAAAATCATGATTTAAGTATTACTAGCTACATAAAAAAGGATATCGTTTTGCCCGCATCATCTCAACGATGAAAAGATCTATACATATCATCGTGTTGTTAAAGTTTAACAGTCTAATGAATAATTAAAAATATGTTTAATGTAAAAATAAGTGTTCAAATTATGTCTAAAGTTAATTTTAGGTGTGTAAAGAATTTTTCGTTAAAAAATAGATGCCTAACGTTTACGACATTAAACTTTCAGCGCATGTCTTTAAATTTAATAATTAAGTGACACGTTTTAAGCTTGTAAATTTTTTTTAAAAAATCAAAAAATTTAAAATTTTATATGCATGACACATGTTATTTAACTGTGTTAAAGGTCCGTGTACCTAAAAGAATAATATTAGAAATGTTAGGCACCTATGTTTAATAAAAAAAAATAGGCACCTGAAGTTAACTTTAGGTATACTTTGGACACTTATTTTTACATTAAGTCTTAAAAATAAAATCAAACTTTAACGCTATAATTGGATTAACTAAAAATCCAGTTGTATAAACAATACATGATTTAAAGTTCAATGACATCTTATGTAGTTCAAATACTTATATACAATTTAGGATAAAACTACACGTTAGTACTCAATCATCACTTTTGTTCCATTTGGATCACCCAACTATTATTTTTTTTAAATCACACCTAGCATTACGTTTTATTTTCATTTTGGTTAAAAAACTAACATAATTGCTGGCATGTCATTTATTAAAAAATTTCTATGACGATATGACATTATCTTATGGTGATACGTCAAAATCACCGTTAATTTTTTTAATGGTATATGACCAAAATGAAACTAAAACATAACCTTAGGTATGATTTTGAAATAAAAAAGTAATTATATGACTAAAACGAAATAAAAGTGATAGTTAAAGTACTAAATGTATAGTTTACTCTATAATATAATATTCGAATTTCTCAATTTTTTAAACTCAACCCTAATTATAATAATAAGATTAACAGATCAATATTTGTCGGTTTGCCGGCCCATTTCGTAATTTCCCGAACAGAAAGGCCAGATTTTTTTGTGTAATTGTCACGTTCTCGGCCTCGGGTTCACTTCACTCCTTATCCTTTGCTTCTCCCGTAGTTCCATTCTATTTTTCATCAGATCCGATCAGATTTAGCTCAGTTGCCTTTGTATCGGATCCCCTAAATCACAGATCTTTACTCATTTTGACTAAAGCAAGAAAAAAGTAACGATGAGAGAAATTATTAGCCTCCACATTGGCCAAGCCGGTATTCAGGTCGGGAATTCCTGCTGGGAGCTTTACTGTCTCGAACACGAAATCCACCCCGATGGAACAATGCCCAGGTTTCTTTTATTATTCTTTTATTTTCTCTTTTGGGATCTAAATTCATAAACCCATTTTTCTGTTAACAAAAAAATTGGATCTTGTAATGGCATTGAAGTAGTTTTATTGGTGTGATTGCAGTGATACGTCAGTGGGTGTGGCGCACGATGCTTTCAACACTTTCTTCAGCGAAACGGGCTCGGGAAAGCACGTTCCGAGAGCTGTGTTTGTGGATCTGGAACCCACTGTCATCGATGAAATTAGAACCGGTCCTTACCGGCAACTTTTCCACCCCGAGCAGCTTATTTCTGGGAAGGAAGATGCTGCTAATAATTTTGCCAGAGGCCACTATACGAGTAAGAAAACATCATTTTCCCCTGTGCTTAACTTCGTTGTCGTTGTTTGTTGGCTTACATTGATTAGCTTTGTGTTTTTCTGCAGTTGGCAAGGAAATTGTGGATCTATGCCTTGACCGAGTTAGGAAGTTAGCTGATAACTGCACTGGGTTGCAAGGGTTTATGGTGTTTAATGCTGTCGGCGGTGGAACCGGATCCGGTCTGGGATCTTTGTTGTTGGAGCGTTTGTCGGTAGATTATGGAAAGAAATCAAAGCTTGGGTTCACCATCTATCCTTCACCGCAGGTAATTGACTGTTTTGATTACTGCTAACTCATGAACATCTCCATTTTCAGTATGCCATATCTACTTTATATTTAGCCTTTGAAACAATTTTGTAGGTGTAATTTATAGGATCACTTATGTTAACTTAGTTAAGTAGTTCTAACTTCTAAGGTAACGGTCGGTACCAATTTGTGCATATATTACTTGGCATGAAATTCTGAAGTTGATTTTTTTTTTGGAAAATAAGTCATGTATACACGTTGAGACAGATTTTGCTTTAAAAACTATTCAATGGAGTTAGCGTAACTGGCTTAGTCTGTTAATTATAGAAGTTCGATGGTAAATTTGATGAGATCAAAGGTTTTTTGACGCACGTGAAAGTTGATGAACTCAAGGTTTTCTCTTGTTACATTTGAAGGTCTCAACAGCAGTTGTAGAGCCTTACAATAGCGTTCTGTCCACACATTCTCTTCTTGAGCATACAGATGTGGCTGTGCTCTTGGACAATGAAGCTATTTATGACATATGCCGAAGATCCCTTGATATCGAGAGGCCAACTTACACCAATTTGAACCGATTGATATCTCAAACCATTTCGTCCTTGACGACTTCTTTGAGGTTTGATGGAGCCATTAATGTGGACATTACAGAGTTCCAAACCAATCTTGTTCCATATCCTCGTATCCATTTCATGCTCTCTTCATATGCTCCTGTTATCTCAGCTGAGAAAGCATACCATGAACAGTTATCAGTTCCTGAAATCACAAATGCCGTGTTTGAGCCCTCAAGCATGATGGCGAAGTGCGACCCTAGGCATGGGAAGTACATGGCATGCTGCCTGATGTATCGTGGTGATGTTGTGCCCAAGGATGTTAATGCGGCTGTTGCTACTATCAAAACAAAGAGGACTGTGCAGTTTGTTGACTGGTAAAGAGCATTTCTACTTCTTTGTAGCTCAACGACTAGAAAAAGAAATGGTTTTGATTATTACTTTTTAAATCTCTTGTGCTAAAAGTCAAATTGTCCTGGTCATCAGTTATTTTCCTCTTTGAATGCTCAAGTTCTTTATGAACAATTACGAATATCCTATGCATCTCATGCTATGCCAACAATATACTAGGGCATCGATATTTACTCCTTTAGGAGATTATAGATATTATAGAATGCAGACATATGATTTGCTAATGTACTGCAGCACATTATGTTGAATTTACCATAGTACTTGTGCCCAATACCTTGTTGTCTGAAAATTCTTTGGAGTGTTCAGGTGCCCAACTGGTTTCAAATGCGGTATCAACTATCAGCCCCCAACTGTTGTTCCTGGAGGAGATCTTGCTAAGGTGCAGCGAGCTGTTTGCATGATAAGCAATAACACAGCAGTGGCCGAGGTTTTTGCAAGGATTGACCACAAGTTTGATCTCATGTACTCGAAGAGAGCTTTTGTGCATTGGTATGTTGGTGAGGGGATGGAAGAAGGTGAGTTCTCTGAAGCCCGTGAGGATCTGGCTGCTCTTGAGAAGGATTATGAAGAAGTTGGTGCCGAAGGCGGAGATGATGAAGAGGAAGGTGAAGAATATTGATCTACTTCCTTCAAAGCATTTGTTTCGAATATTAGTTTATCGTAGTAGGGTATTCCCGACCGCATTCCTATATCATTCCAATTGTTCTTTCTTGTGTGTGTTGTAAGATTTCCAGATTGTGCCTGTCACATGCGTAGAGTCTTTTCTTGCTATCAATGAAATAAATTTAGAGTTGTGTTTGAATGTCATTTTGTTAAAATTGTTGTCATTGGCTTGTGAAGATGCTTAATAGGAACGTGAATAGCCTTATATGCTATCGTTCTGTTTTCTTATTTAGAACTGCCATGTTTGTGGGTTTTGTAAGATGATTGTCTAAGCCATTTTATGCTTATTATTTTAGATTCTGTTTCATGTTATTTTTGTCAGAAATGCCTTCGTTTATGAAAGATGCTTTGTAGGCACAAGAATAGCCTAATGACAATGTTAAATACTTTTTGTTGCCATTGTGGTTGTATCATCAGATGAATGAATAATATAAGTTGAAGAATTATTTGAATAAATATATTAATATCATACAACACTCGGTTCCCGCCCGAGTATCATAAGATATATGATTGACAAAGTTTAGCTTAGCAATTATTTAAACCCTATCCAAATCAAGTAAAATCATGTATATATGGAGAATGCTTGAATTCTTTTTTAACCAGACCTTAACCAACCTATCCATGAATATCTTGTTGCACTTCTACTCTTATCAAAATAGGAGTGGATCATATCATCAAATGAATATAAGTTGAAGAATTATTTGAATAAATATATTAAAAACACAATATTCAATCGTACAACACTCACTCGCATGATTATCATAAGAGATATGATTGACTCAGGTTTAGCAACTATTTAAGCCCTATGCAAATTAAGTAAAAGCATGTATATATGGAGAATACATGAATTCTCTTTGAACCAGACCTTAACCAGCCAGCCCATCCATGAACATCTTGTTTCACTTCTGCAAGGTCAGAAAAAGAAAACAAGTTATGCATCATTAATTGTTATTAAGAGTGGGTTTGTTGGCTATTTGTCATGGTTTATGGTAGGGAGTGTTGGTACCTGGGATTGTACAACACCAACTAATTGAGGATTTGGTGTACCCACTTGGATTCTACTTGTGCTTCATCTTCATCATCAGTTCTGGTGAGGAGGATGAATGGCTTAGTGGGGTGGTGGTCCATTCCTTTTCCGCATATGCTCTCCACCAGCTCACTCGAAACATCATACAAATGCACCGCCTTCAAATGGGTTTGATGTTTCCAACCGTTTGGCAATTGCCTCAACTCCTTGCATGCCATAACGTTAAGTTCTTTAAGGCCAGGCATCATGCCATCCTCTATCACAATCTCCTTCAGTTCTGATAATCCCCTTAAATATAAGCGCTGAAGCTTTTTGAACCCTTCAACAAAACATAGGTGCTCTCCCACAAATGCATTTTTCGCGAGATCGAGTTGCACCAGATTGGGCAATGTCTGAATGTGAGAAATTGCATCTTCCCCCAGTTCAGACTTCTGTAGGGACAAGAATTTAAGATTGACTAGGGTGTTAAACCAATGTGGAACTTTTCCCAATTTCCCAACTAGAAAAAGCTTCTCAAGGTAAGGAGGGGCTGATGGAAGAGCATCCAGCTTTAGTGCAAACTGGGGTTGTGAATTCAACCGTAAGTAATGAAGGTATTGCATTCTTTGAATAGAGATGCACAATTGCTCTTCATCGGCTTCTATCAATCCACCAAGCTCAATGCTTCTCAATTGTTCCATTCTTTAAGTTTAATTAACAATTCACTCGTTAATCTGACGTGTAGAACCTGCAAACTCTTTATCGTACAAATATATGGGGGTACATCTATGCTCTTGGCCATTTTAGCAGGGTCGGCAATGCAAGGGAACTTCACAAGCTCAACATCTGCGTTTTCCTCTTCGTAGTTATCATATTCTTTGTTCTTTATGGCAGTACAGAAGTGATATTACATCAACTCTAGTGGATAGCAGTCAGCATAGGAGTGGAGCTGGACGATGGGTAAAATTGAGAGGGATTGTTGATGTTGGAGTTAATATCATCATCTACAAGAATATTTTGTCCACCAGCAGCTTCATTCTGGGTTTCGATTGGAGTCTGGCAGTTCAACTCATCCTAACCAATTGGGAAATCAGGTGGTGATTCCTCTTGCTCCTTCAATGTGCTTCAAATGGATCTTTTGATTGCTTCATCAAATTATCTGCTTTTGGAGTTCATCACAATTCTAGGGAAATAATACATTAACAAAAGATTAAAATGGAAGAATGGAAATAATATAATGCTATCCACCAACCAGAAAAATCATATCTGAACACAAATAGCATACAACTATTTAGTAATTCCAAAATATTTGGTTCCTTCGAAATTGTTTTTTGAGATAAACTGCAATTAGCTGCCTATAAGTCCATTTCTTTTGTCTCTTAAACTCCATAAATGCCTCTGAACTTGACTGGAAGTCCCCTTTACCCATAGCCTCAAACACAAGTGGATCTGTTAATGTTAGTGGAGAATCATCGGCATTCATATTGTTCAAAATGAAATCCAGATTTCCTCCAAGTCTTCTATCCAAGTATGCATCTACAAAACATCCATAAGTTACCAAATCAGGAACGATGCTTTCATGTTTCATGTGTTCAAGGCTGAGATGAAGATCCCAGAACATAGACATTCTTGAGAAGGCCAAAGCTCTTATATTGAATGTAGTCAAATCAGGAAGGAAGCCAGAATCCAACATTTTCAGAAACTGTCTCTGCAGGGTTTTCATCTTGAAATTGGAAGCATAAGATAATAGCAAGAGATTCCATAAGAGATTGCCTATATCTGTCCTCCCAAGACCCACACCATCTAAAAATTCACCCAACTTGTAGAACTTCCCTTCCTTGATGTAGACGACTGACATTGCTCTGATTCCTTCTTCGTCTATCAGATGTCTAGATCTTTTAAGGCGGACATACGCAGCCTCCATCTTAGTTAAGGAACCAAAAATGCTATAATACCTAATAAAGGCATTTCCGGTGGCAGAATCTATAGGCAAACCCTTTAAAACCATCTCCTTCAATGTATTCTCCATCAAATCAAGCTGACCATGCTTTCCAAAGCAAGAGATAGCCACTGGATACACTTGGGGTAACAAGTTAAACCTGTGCAGAATTATTTGATCCAAAATTTTCAGTACTTGGTGAAAATGCCCCATCTTTCCATAAGCATCCATGAATTTTGAAACCAGAGGAATAGCAGGCATAAAAGATGAAGTATTTAACATTTCCTCCCATATTGCCTCAGCATGAGGGAAAAACCCATTATCTGCAAAACAAAGCAGGAGAGCAGAAAGGGTATCACTGTTGGGCATAAAACCTTCAGAATTTAACTCGAGTAAAAGTTGATGAGCAACATGAGGCATCCTTTTTCTAGCTAAGGTTTGAACCAATGAAGCACAATCTACCAAGTTGTCCCTCCTAAGGATACATCCTTCCCTCTTCCATTGTCGGATCATCTGCTCCAAGAGAAACCCGACAACCAAGTAAACAAAAACAAATAGATAAAATCAATTGAAATGGAAGATAGAAGCGCAATAATTCTTGACAATGAAGAAGGAAGCATTTAATATCACCTTTCGGGGAAGAGGTGCATTACTGCTTAAGTTTGTTGAAGAAGGGTTGGATTTGAGAGAGGTAATAGGGAATGCAAAAGGTGTTCTCTTGAGTAGCCACTGAGTTTCCATATTGTACTAAACTCAAGTCTGAGAGAAAGAGAAAACGAAATCAGTTAAAAGTGCATAAACTTCTTTCCATGTTGGTGCTAAAGGGCTCATTAGGTGTTTCTCAATAAAACAAGAGACTAATATCCAAAGAAGAAATGAAGTCTCTAATAGGAATATGGACGACATCTCATTGGCAACCTATGATGAGGGACGGACATAGAATTTTATGTTAGGAGGTGCGAACTTAAGAATTTGTATTAGAAATTAAAGGAGTGCGAAACTAGAAAAATTAAGAGTTGTGAAATTAAATTATCAATAGAAAATACAAATAAAACACCTAAACTATATGAGAATTTGAAATTTGCAAGGTACAACCGCACTCCCAAACACACCTCGATTCATCCCTGTCTATGACAGCATTGTTCCTGATTTGGTAACTTAAGGATGCGTTATTGATGCTTATGATTAGATCACGTAAAGGCTTGGAAGATGAATAACAAGTCAGAAGTTCAATTCATTCTTTTTCCCATTTTTTGTTCACAAACTAACCCTATAATCACTCTGGATAGATATTCATATCTCCGGCGTCCCTGAGTGCATTACTTTCACAATTCCATACACCAAAATATAACAGAGTGGTGCAGAGGCAGAGAGCAAGCAGATAATTCAAAATCTCAAGACTTACAAGTCCTTAAGTTAAACTTTAGGGTTTCTAAAATTACCTTATTTAATTTGCTGGTCTGTCGGGAACCTGAAGGCATGGGATGGGAGGTACCGGGTCGGAAGGAAGAGGTGAGAGGCAGGGGATGCTTGTAGAGAGATGACAGAACTTTAAAAAGGTTAAAATTGCTCTACAATTCCTTTTACTCTTTGAATATTAAATTTTACTCATTCTACTTTTATTTCGAAAGATTTAATCCTTTATCTTTTGGGTCTAAAAACTTAAATTTACTTTTTATAAAAAAATATTAAAAATATAAAAAATTATGAATAATAATACAAATCATAAAGAAATTATTTCAAAAAATCCTTAAAATACAGAAGAAATAAATAAATCTACAAAAGTTAGAAATACAAACAACAACAACAAAACCCAATTCCCATATGCAATGGGGTAAGGAGAGGTAAGGTAGTAGACTGCCCCCAATGCCTGGTTGAGAGAAGCTTTCGTGGAAGACCTCCGACAGTCAAAAAATTAAAAATAAAGGTAAAATACAATGCATGTATAAATAAATAAATAAATAAATACATAGTTGAAACAACATTCATATGCAGTCTACATATGCGCGTCTGTAATGGGAAGTAATCCCTGCAAATAAATCCATGCGTAAAAAGGCTCTGCATATAGACAGAAACGTAAGACCCGACTAAAAAAAAAAAGAGGAAACCTGAAGAGAATGATACATAGAAGTTAACGATAACAAGCAACGAGAAAGAATAAAGTCAAATGTGTTAAAACCTAAACTAAGGTAACATTTCTCCGCTACCATAGTTCTAAACCTTCAAAAATTCCAATGACAGAAACGTATAAAAAATAAAAGTCATTGAAATTTCTACAAAGGCATTAAACACAGACAGAGGTGATACCCCATATGGATGTAACCCACACTACTATGCTACCATGGTTTTAAGTCTCTATATTTTCCTATCAGAAGTCATGTACTCGGTAAGGGCTAAATCTTTCAAATCAGATCTCAACCTGTCTTCCCACTTCCGCCTTGGTCGTCCTCTCCTTCTCACCTTGGTCGCCTTGGTGTCTCCAACTGTAGTTATGACGTATGTAGTAGATATGCAGTACATATTACGAATCGCCCAGATATAACCAGTTGAGATCCGTCTCGTTTCCAAGGTCTTCCAGATTGTATCGCGGGGAACGCTATCATAAGACTTCTCAAGGTCAATGAACGCCATGTGAAGATCTCTATTTTTTCCCCTTTATTTCTCCATAAGCCGTCGAAGTAGATGAATCACCTCCGTAGTAGACCTGTCTGGCATAAAGCCAAATTGATTTTCCGAAACCCTAGTAAACTGTCTCAACCTAACCTCTATCACCCTTTCCCATAGCTTCATGGTATGACTGAGTAGTTTAATATCATTGTAGTTTACAAAAACATGAAAATAGAAATAATTAGGTGACTACATAGTTAGTAGGGATGGCAACGGGCCGGGTTCGGGCCGGGTATTGGTCCCCCCGTCCCCGTCCCCATTTAAAAAATGGGTACCCGTCCCCATTTAAAAAACTACGGGGATTTAAACGGGGATCCCCATCGAGTAATCGGGGAAAACCGCGGGGAAACGGGTATCCCCGTTTAGCATAAACATTTATTTAAACGGGTATCGGTAGGGTTGTTCATTCGGTTAATTTGGTGGCCGAACCGACCGAACTACCATTAACCGAATTAATCAAAAAAAATTCTTTAACCGTTAATAGAACCAAATTTTTTTTTCGAAAATATTAACCGAACCGAATAAATTTCGGTTAATTTTTGAATTAACCAAATTTTTTTAGAATTTTCGAATTTAATACTAGAGAGCAGCTGCTGTTCCATTTGCTAGGGAAAAACGTGATGTTGGTATAGGTCCCGAGGCTGATTTTAATATGGCTAATTCACACGCTTCGCTTTGTCAGAGGAACGTTAAAGCTTGTGTAATGGAGACAGCTTGTATGAGGTTATTGGAATGCGAGGTGAAAAAGAGGGTTGCTGTCGAAGAGTCGAAGACAATATGCAAGTTGCATTGATTTTAAATTATGCTGGACATATTTTCCAGCTTGCCAATGCTAGTGGTGGGCTTCAGGTGTGTAATGGTGTACTGGACGAGGACCATGCAGCAAATACACGTTCGTTGGAAGTGGCACAATACCAGCAAACCAACCAGACTTTTCCCATTTAACTAGACAATGTTTGTCTATTAAAAGATATTAAAGGTTTACACGTGATTGCAAACAAGAAGTGTAAGCACTATTTTCACTATTAAAAGAAAAAAAGAATATTATGAGACAACGAAAATTGAGGTAAATTCTAGAAATTGAAGCGGGGACAACGTTTTAAAGTGGGGCAGTATGGGGTGAAAAAAATAATAAAAAATATTTAAGGGTTAATTTAAAATATGTTATTAATATTATATATAAAAAAAATAATTATTTTTAATATTTATCGGGCCGGGTAATCGGGGCGGGGATTACCAAACCCGTCCCCGTCCCCGTTTAACATAAACGGGTTTTCCCCGTCCCCATTTATCATCCCCAAACCTAACCCGTTAAATTCAATTTTCGATTTTCCCATCAAATTCGGGATTTTTTTGCCATCCCTAATAGTTAGAGTACCCTAAATATTCTCACTTACCTTATTGTATATATTATCTCGTGAGGTGAATGACGCGTATAAAAGAATGGGTAAAATACACCAAATCACTTAATTATTAGTTCAGTTATAAATTTGTCACACTTTTCTTTAAAAGTTATAATTTAATTATTTAATTAAAATATTATTACAAATAAATCATGCAGTCGGTTAAAATTAAAATAGTCTTCTAATGTGACTACCATAATAACAATTTTAATCACTAAGATGTATAAATTATATAAATTTAATCTTAATTTAAAACAATTCAATTAATTAATTTTAATTATTCAATTTAAAAAATTATTAATTTAATTTTATTGTGATATTTTCTAAACAAATGAGTCCATAAGATCAAAGTAGCAATTTGACAATTGTATATTTGTATTCTATTATAAAATAACAACAAACTATTGTTATTCTATCAAGAAAATAACATAAAATTAGTGTAACATTTATAGGAGAAAATCAAAGACTAATTTGAAAATTTTTTTAATATAAAAATTAAGCTTATTGAATTGTTTTAATATATATCAAATTAACAGAATACATAAGTTTTAAAGAGTAAAATTATTATTATATATGGTCACATCAGTATTGCGTCTAATATTGTATTTAATTAAATAAATAAATTATAATATTTTAAAATAATATATATGGGTAAAATATATCGTTTAATACTTAAACTATCAGTTTTGGTCCGTTTTAATATATAAAATTTCATTTTTTTAAAACCTAAGTATGGTTTAGGTACTAAACTTAAACTTTCAATATTTTCAACACTTAAGTCTTGGTACTAAAAATGAAACAAAAACTAAACTTTAGGTATGATATTGAAAGAATTGAAAGTTTAGGTACTAAAACGAATCATGACCGATAGTTTAGGTACTAAATATGTAGTTTACCCTACATTTATTATGAAACTAAGGGTAAACCACACGTATAGTCACTTATCTTTCATATTTGTATACTTTTACCCACCAAATTCAAAAAGATTAAGTTTTTATCACTTACGTTATCGTTTTATTATGTTTTAGTCACTAATAAGTTTAATGTGTTAATTTGATAATATGACGCATTAATAAAAATATTTAATTTCTATTTTAACTCCTAACTTTAAATAAATTTTAAATATGATTTTTTTTATAAATTCAGGGCAGTTTAGTGATAAATTTTCAATTTACCATTGTTTAAAGTGCTTTTATTCTTCTCGAAACCCTGGCTTCCCCCATGCGTGGCACACCTCGTCCCTAAACCGGTGACGATTACCGATCAAGCATATTGAAATTTCAAATACCAACGCCCGACAAAAGCATGAGAGACATACAAGGAATGATGCAGTGGATATATATAGGATCTTATCTTCACTAATTCCAATATATATTAACGAAGATAAAACCTTAAATGGCAATAGAGTGTCCAACAATATACCTCACAATCTTTTACAAGATTTACGAGTAACCTTATACCAACATGCAAACAAAGCAGGAGTATAGCAGATTACAGCTCAGAGAAAGTTCAAGTTGTGAGGAACTCATCAAATGATTTTAGAAGGGAATGAGAATGTCGTTCTCTTTAGAAGTCTTGAATTCGAGCAGTTACGTCAGTAGAGTGTATGCATTATCAATGGGTGTGTCGTGCAAAGAGAAACTAGGTTTTGGCAAAAATAAAAGCATATTAAAAGAAGGGTTAGTTTATAGATGTTCATAATTAAAATTTTCTCTAAAGTTCAAGGATTAAAACAAAATTAAATCTTCTTAATAATGTGTCACGTCATCAAAGTAACGTCATTCAATATCTTAGTTACAAAAACTTAATAAAACCATAATATAAGTGATTAAAACTTAACATTTTCAAATTTGATGAGTAAAAGTGATAAATATGAAGGTAAGTGACCATCCCGGTAATTTACTCTTAATTAATAATTGTGTACTACAGGTGAATTAACCCATAAATAAAATAGGAATCATTTTGTTTCAGGCTCGGTGCATACACATCAACTGCACCTAAGCTTTGAACACAAGAAGGGAAAAACCAACTGCACATAACCCTAATTTTTCAATTTTTCCCTTTTCCGTTATTTCCCTCCTTCACTCCTTTCCCTTCTACTTCGAACCCTAATTACACATTCTCTCTCCTAGGATTCCATTTATTTGTTTCCATTTTCTTTTTCCTCGGACCTCGTTCTTGGTCCTATGGAGTTTGGTGCCGGTGGACGCAAAAGAGGGAGACCAGAGAATGGCAATGGAGGCTTCAAGAAATTCAGGCAAGGTGCGAACTTTCAACTTGCTTTTACATATATATCTATATATATGTAAATGTTCAGCTATTTGTATATATAATTTTTTTTAATGTTTGTACAAGTTCGTTTGTTGTGTATTTGAGATGAAAACGATGGTTTCTCAGGCTCCAACTTCTTTTGCTTTCTTTGTGTTGTTCGCCGAAGTACTGAAAAAGTGGAAAGCTTCGAATTTTGTGTAGTGATGTCTAAGAGTGTTTGGTTGCTGGGAAAGCACCAATGGAAATTTGAGTATTATTTATAGTTTTAGTACATGGATATAAGCATTGTCATCTGGGAATGTGTAGAGATGAATTTAAATTGAATGAAGTATACTCAAGTTTAATATGAATTCAAAATAGAAGCTTGGTTACGAGGGATAGAAAAGAAAAAGTAAAAGGAACATTTTGAGTTAAATTTTCCTTGAGTTCTGCCCCCATTCAAACACACACAAAAAGCTGTGGAGCTCTAGACCACGGCAAGGTTTATATGCTTGCTACATTGAGTTTTAAAGGAATTAAGATAATACCATACAAGCAAGCATATATATATATATTGAGATTTGGGGCTGTTATTCTTTCTTCAAACATGGGGTTTATATTGCTCTACAAATGGGTTAATTGATCTCATGTTTCCATTAAACAATATATGTTAGCTTAATGAATTTATGTATACTTTCTTATTTACTGTTAAATGGACAGTGACAACTAGTTTAACCAGCTTGTGGACATTTTGCATCCATTGCAGATGTATGTGTAGGTATCATCCGTAAATGTTTGTGTCTGCCCTATTTCGCCCTATTTTACTTAGTTTGGATTTGCTGAGCATTAACAATAGTGGGTTTGAACTTTGCATGTGATCCTTCATTTGTTTTTTATTTTTTTACTTTTTTTTTATGTTATTTAGTGTCTGGGCTGTAGTTGCATAGAAAAGTGTGTATCGGTGATGGTGATGGATGTTCCTTCCTCATTTATTCCTGCGGAGTTCTATTATGTAGTGCAATATTGAATATGCAGTCCATTACTCCTTTTTTCCATTCCAGATAAGCTTTTCTTGCATGATTAGAAATGATAGCCTCCTTTGGCTGTAAATTACGTGTTATATTTTTCTCTGTTGTATTATTGTATTTGTTAGAGTTTGATTTTTCATTTATATCTTTGTATGTTAAAATTTGGCAAATTTTCTTATCTTTGTATGTTAAAATTTGGCAAATTTTCTTTCATGTTGACAGTTGATTGTTGTAGAAGTTTGGGAATGCCTTCTGAATCATATAGATATTTTACTTAAATCTGATTTTTCATCCAGAAAACCATGGAAAGGGACTAGGGAGATCAACTTACGCTAGAGACACATGATTCTTTTATTTATGCTAGGAAACCAAAAATAAATCATGATGTTTAAATATATTTTTCTCACTATTTTCTCATTTAAAGGAGTATTGCTCTAACGTACAGAACAATTTTACAAGTCTTTTACTGGGTGTAATTACCAAACTGTCAGCCCACTAGTCAATTTGTTTGTAACATTGGTGATTAAATTATTATAAAAATGATGTAAACCAGTTATTCATATCTAATAAAGTGCATATTTTCTTTTGTAGTCCGGATAAGAAATGGTATTGAATACCTTGTTAAGTTCCAAAATCAATAACACTTAAAGTGAAACTGAGATAAATTAATTAATGTTCTGCAACAGAAATGGAGTCCATTCCAACTGGTATAGGAAGCAAATCGAAGCCATGCACGAAGTTTTTCAGGTTCAAATCTTAACCTATCTAAAATAAATAGCCAACTGCAGTTCCATCTATTTATAATTTTTATAATTTGCTAGTAAAATTTTCTTAGAGAACAACCTCCCGGAGCAAGATTTATGTGATTATGACTAATTAATTGATCATTTAAAATGGTGATACAGGTAATATTCTTACCCCTAATTTTGATTGAAAGACTATGGAACAGAAATGATTGATTTCTTGGAAATATTCTTTGATTAACTACTTCATGGCCTATATGCTAGCAGAATGCAAACTTGCAGGATGTAAAACCTTTTAAAGACGAAAAAAACTTGTTCCGAATAAATCGTGTTTATTTCTGCTGAATATGGCTGACTTAAATAGAGTTTACAATATAACAACTTTACATAAAAAGATGCATAAAATTAGCAACAGAATAAAAAAGATTCTATCTAATTAAAAATGATCCTATCTAATAACTAATAGAATAAAAAACTGATTCTATCTAATTAAAAATGATCCTATCTAATTAAAAATGATCCTATCTAATAACTAATAGAATAAAAACTGATTCTATCTAATTAAAACTGATCCTATCTAATATTTAATTTAGATATTCTCGACACCCCCCCTCAAGCTGGAGAATAGATATCGATCATTCCCAGCTTGGACAGAAATCCTTCGAACATCGTAGTAAACAGTCCCTTGGTGAGAACATCGACGAGCTGCTCTGATGATGGAACAAACGGTATGCAGATATCGCCATTTTCCAGCCTCTCCTTGATGAAATGTCGATCTATTTCGACATGTTTGGTCCTGTCATGCTGTACAGGATTCTGAGCAATACTGATTGCCGATTTGTTGTCGCAATACAACTTCATCGGTTTATCTCTTTCAACCTTCAGCTCCTCCAAGATCCTCCTAAGCCATAACAACTCACATACTCCTTGCGCCATGGCTCTGAACTCGGCCTCCGCACTGCTTCTAGAGACAACTGGTTGCTTCTTGCTCCCCCAAGTAACTAAGTTGCTCCAGACAAAGGAGCAATAACCGGTAGTAGATCTTCTGTCTGTAGAACTTCCGCCCCAATCAGCATCAGTGAAGATCTCCACTCTTCGACTTCCATTCTTCGAAAACATGATTCCTTTACCAGGACTCCCTTTCAAGTAATGAAGAATCCGGTAAACAGCCTTGGAGTGTTTTTCTGAGGGACAATGCATAAACTGACTAACCAAGCTCACAGCAAATGCAATATCTGGTCTCGTATGAGCCAAATAAATCAGTTTCCCCACCAGCTTCTGATACCGATTCTTGTCCACAGGCTCAACACCATCTTCTTTTTCGAGCTTTTGATTCGGATCAATAGGAGTCGCCACTGGTTTACATCCGAGTAATCCGGTCTCTTTCAAGATATCGAGGACATATTTCCTTTGCGAGATAATTATACCTTTTGAGGATCTAGCCACCTCCATTCCAAGGAAATATTTGAGTTGTCCTAGATCCTTGACTTCAAACTGGTTGGATAAGAAGTTCTTCAACGACTCCAACTCTACTGTGTCATCTCCTGTCATAACAATGTCATCTACATACACAATTAAAATAGCAATTTTACCATTATTGTGTTTGTAGAACATAGTATGATCAGACTGGGCCTGAGTGTAACCATGTTGTTTCACAGCTCTCGTGAATCTCTCGAACCAGGCTCTCGGAGATTGTTTCAATCCATAAATGGATTTCTTTAGCTTGCAGACCCTGCCATCCTTCTTCAATTCATCAAAGCCTGGAGGAACTTCCATAAACACCTCTTCCTCTAGCTCACCGTTTAGGAACGCATTCTTCACATCAAACTGTCTGAGAGTCCAATCCAGATTGGCGGCTAGTGAGAGTAGGACACGTACGGTGTTTAGTTTGGCCACAGGTGCGAAGGTCTCCTCGTAGTCAAGGCCGTATGTCTGAGTGAAGCCTCGTGCTACGAGTCTTGCCTTGTATCTCTCGATCGAGCCATCTGCATGGTATTTGATGGTGAACACCCACTTGCTGCCTACAGATCGTTTCCCCTCAGGTAAAGGAGTTAGATCCCACGTGTCATTCTTCTTCAGGGCCTTTAACTCCTCAAAAACTGCCTCTCTCCATCTCGGAACTTCTAGAGCTTCATGTATCGACTTAGGTAGTGCATCATCCATAATCCTAGTGGAAAAAGCTTTGAAATCTGGAGAGAGTTTATTATAAGATAAGAAATTGGATATTGGATGTTTTGTGGTACATGATCTAACACCTTTGCGCAAGGCTATGGGTTCAAAGAATTCTGTAGAAGGCTCTAAATTTGGAGAAGAAATAGGAGAAAGAGAAGTCGTACCTTGGACCATAGTCGAGTCCGATGGTTGGCATACCTTGGGGGCCGGTGGAACATTACTTGGTCGGGTCATCCGTCTAGAATAAACACGAAGTTCAGTAGGTGGTTCCAAGTTGGCTTCTACCTGAGTCTCACGAGGTTGTGAATTTATAGGTTGTGAAATCCTAGGATTAGTTACGGAAATATGAATTGGTTCCACTGAGCTATTTACAACCGATTTTGGCAAGAATGTTTGTTCCCAAAAACTCATTTCAGAGTCATTCACCCCCGGAAGAGAGTTTTTGTCAAAAAAAGGTTGTTTTTCAAAAAACGTGACATCCATACTCACATAATACTTCCCAGATTTAGGATCAAAGCATTTATACCCTTTTTGTGTTGGTGAAAAACCTAGAAATATGCATTTATGTGCTCGGGGATCGAGTTTTCCTCTATTTTGGCCGTGTATATGAACAAAAGCAATGCAACCAAAAATTTTAGGTGTTAAATCAGTGAAAGATCTATTTTCAGGAAACATATTCTTTAGAGCTTGCAAAGGAGTAATATAATTAAGAACTCTTGTAGGCATTCGATTTATCAAATAAGACGCTGTTAAGAGTGCTTCATTCCAAAAACGATTAGGAACATTCATAGCAAACAGTAAAGCCCTAGTCACCTCTAAAAAATGCCTATTTTTTCTTTCAGCAACTCCATTTTGTTGGGGAGTATCAACGCAAGAACTGTGATGAATAATTCCTTTTTGTTTCAAAAAATCACCTAAGATTGCATTAAAATATTCTCGACCATTATCGGTTCTAAGAACTTGAATATTTGCTTGAAACTGAGTATTGATCAGTGAGTGAAAATTTTTGAAAACACTTGCTGCCTCGGATTTTTCTTTTAGTAAATAAATCCACGTGACTCTAGTGTGATCATCAATGAATGTGATGAACCATCTAGATCCTGAGGCTGTTTTTACTCGTGAAGGGCCCCAAATATCACTATGCACAAGAGAAAAAGGTTTTGATGGAATATACTTTAAAGATGGATAAACAGATCTATGATGTTTTGCCAATTCACAAGCTTCACACTGAAAAGAAAAACCGTCCTTTTTTTTGAAAAGATTTGGAAACAAATATTTCAAGTAATTAAAACTAGGATGGCCTAACCTATAATGCCACAACATTATTTCATTCTCACAAGACAAGGTAGTAAAGCATCTCGGTTTCTGAACTTGTTTATCTGAAGGATTGTCCGTGACCAAGTGATAGAGTCCATCAACCTCCTTAGCATTGCCAATCATCTTCCCCTAACAAGGGTCCTGAAATTCAAATCCAGCAAATGTTATTGTAGCAATGCATTTGCAATCATGAATAATACGATTAACAGAGATGAGATTGCAAGAGAGCTTTGGGACATGTAGGACATTTAGTAATGTGAGAGATCTGCTGAATATGGCTGACTTAAATAGAGTTTACAATGTAACAACTTTACATAAAAAGATGCATAAAATTAGCAACAGAATAAAAAAGATTCTATCTAATTAAAAATGATCCTATCTAATAACTAAAAGAATAAAAAACTGATTCTATCTAATTAAAAATGATCCTATCTAATAACTAATAGAATAAAAACTGATTCTATCTAATTAAAACTGATTCTATCTAATATTTAATTTAGATATTCTCGACACCTTTCCATATTATAGCATACAATAATCTTTTTCAATAAAAGAAGTGATATGCCGAATCTAATGATTACTGAAGTATGGTATAGCGTAGTCTATTTTCATAGATAGTGGGAACAGAGTGCTGAAGGGTAAGCCTAAATTTTCATTACAATGTATCTGTTGTGGTGCATTTTAGGGTTCTTCATTCAGATGCAAGATTACATGCATTATAATTTTTTTTAGACATAATGTATAACACAATCAAGTTTCATGAAATCAATGCTGCTGCTTTTGAATTAAATATTTGGAGGTTGCCCCCTGATTCATTGTTTGAGAAATGTTCTTTATTTAAGTAGTATATATTTTTGAGGATTTTCTTGTCGAATATTGTTATTAAATTTCTGTTGAATATTGTGTAATTTTAGAGTACCCCACCCCCCAAATCCATTTACTTGATTAATAAATAATCTATGTATAGATTATTTTATAAACTGTTAGTGTTCTTTTCCAATCTTGGTTTCTGTTTTTTCCCTCTTTAAATAAGCTCTAGATTCTAAGAATATGCTTTTGGATATTATTCACTGGTTGAGTTCCGTGTTTATCTAGTGCTTTTATTTCCTCATTGCATTCTTATGTGTCTGTGCAAAATTTCTATTTAAGTCAAGTTCACAATGGAAGGTTCAAGGGATAAGGGATTTTTCCCCATTGTACTTGAGTTGCGACTATATATACATCTTTTAACTTTCTCTCTTGTAAAATCATTAGCTTTGTCAATTCTAATATTTCCCAGTATGCACATCATAATCAATACCTAAAATTTCCTTTTCGTACATAAATTGATAATCTGTGATGATATTAATCTGGTTTGTGTGCAGTTATTTGATTCTGGATAGATTTTTATCTCTCTTGGAGGGAAAGTAAGAATGCATCTTGATTTCTCTAGGTCATTTAGTATTCTGTGGTTGAAATTTTCACATATACATCATGGAGTTTTTTTTTATAGGAATTGAAGGCCTCATTTTTTTTTTGATAGAAGTTGGAGGTCTCATTAAAAACTCCCTTCGTATTCGTTCACATACTAAAGGTATGTTAACGAACATTGGAAGGAAGAAAAGAGTACCTCAAATTTTATTGATAAAATACCCGATACAAAAGATACCACAGAATATCCTCTCATGGTGATGTACACCATTACAACAAACACCTTAACCTCATATGACCTCATCCAAAGCCACAGTCAAATCACCTTACTTCTAATTACACCACCAGTAGTAGGAATAAAACAGAACATAATACAAATTAAAAGCAACACCTACAACCATATAGACTAAAACAACCACAATTGAAGAGACAAGATCTAATGAGACTCGTCTTCTTCAGGAGCCCAAGAGTTTGGTTTGAATGAAGGTTCTATCTCATGCACCATGACCTTGAAGAAGTTGTCAGCAACCTTCAATTCCACCATCGCATCAATTCTTGCATCAGCCTTTGTGAGGACTTGAATTTTTGCCCGATCAAAGGATGATGGAGACTGACAACTTTCGTCGATAGCTAGTAATAAACCCCACTTATCAGCAATGTTCTTGAAAGTATCCCAATTCCATGCGTGAAAAGGAACACCCTCGCAAACTAACCATACTCGACGACACTCCATGACCAATTGAAGGCCTCATTAAAAACCCCCTTCTTGATTGAAGGAGCTTGTAAAGAAGCTCCTACCAGCGGAAGAGGGAAAAGAGTGCCTTTATATTATATTAACCATAAAAAATTACATAAGATACATCCAAGGGGCTATCCCAAAATAACCAAAAACGAAATAAACTACCGACACAACCCTGTACAACTCTACAATGACCTCTACTCTGGCTGGCCAAACCCGGTCTAGCATCGCTACTGAAGACTTACACCCTACACGCAGCCAGGAAAACAGCACAAAACAAATCCACAATATTCCTAAAGCAATCAACCAATCCCCTCCTTAGCTAACTTATCAGCTTCCATATTGCAACTCCTAGGAATCAATCTCAGAACAATATCCTTAGCCAAAATAGATGCCCCAATTTTCTCCACCATCGAACTGAAAAAAGCAGGTGCAAAGATCTGTTTAGAAATCCAATCCACTGCTGTTTTACAGTCACTTTCAATTATTAGTCTCCCTTTGTTAGCCCAGTCCGATGAGAAGAAAAACATAATGCCTTCCTTAATAGCTTTCAGCTCTGCCAAAATAGGAGTTCCAGGCCCTACCGATGTTGAGAATATGGCTAATGTATCAGGGGTAGAATCTTTCAAAATACCACCTATACCTCCTTGCAACCTATCCCCTCTTACCGCCCCATCAACGTTAAGTTTGAACATATGTGGTGGCGGTGGAGTCTAACAATTAGCCTTGTCAGGGAAATGAGAATACTGAACCTTATCCGCAAGCTTAGGATCTCCAACTAGATTGTCCGAGTTGATACGAACCAAAGAGTATTTAGCTAAAAACCATTTAGCCAATCTGAATCTGGTGAAAAAGAACAGAGCAGAATTGTCGACCTTCCCATTTTCGAATACAACCAAATTCCGAACCTTCCATATTGACCAAAGAACGACCCCCGGGATGAACTTCCAAATACACGAATTCTTCCTTAAAAACGACCAAGAGCACAGAAATGAAATGGGGTCCTTAGGTAGAGCAGTAGAAATGTAACACCCCCAACCCGTACCCGACCCGGATACGAGTCCGACGTGTCACATTGACTTTTCAAATCTTGACTCTTAAGAAAAATCCCGGGAAATTTAAAACTTTATTTAAAACAAAATACAGACTTGATCAGAGTGCTCGTACTTAATGACTTATTACATGCCAACACTTTATACATAACCAAATACATACTTTGTCAAATACTTCTGATCTGATCTTTTAGTAGTGATACTGTCTTTGCCACTTCTATTCTTTCACTTCTCGTTCTTGGTACCTACGTGTAAATCACTTACACGCTAAGTCATAGACTTAGTGAGACATATAAAACATATAATATAACCATATATCATTTCATATAAATAAAAGACATACATATACAAACACTATCAATAATCCTTTCCACTTACCATATACTCATCATATAACACATATAATTCATGTATGTGCATTCATTTCATTGAATCACTACATATCAATATGCATGAATCTATGGTATGATAACAATATACAATCAGGTCATGCACACATGCAACTTACCTTCTTTTATCACTTTCACTTTCATTTGTCTTTCAATTTCATTGCCCATGTATATTATTGAGAATAGAGGTATGTGAGTACATTGAGGTTGTGCACTAATGCTGTCACCACAGCTCGTATAAATGTCCCGAAAGACCTATCCAGAGGTCACACAGACCCCGGTAACTATCCAGAGGTCATAAAGAACCTCGGCAACTGTCCATAGGTCCCAAAGAACCTAGGTAAACTGTCCATATGTTCCTTAGAACATAGGTATACTGTCCATATGTCTCGAAAGACATAGGTAAAACCCTCGACTCTTGGCATGCCAACTATACCTATAGCTCTCGTATCATATACTATGGGCATTTATTTATACATTTCGTATCACTTGTTCTTTCTCTTCTGTCACATATCACATGTATGTGTAACCATATATCTCATATCATATCACATGTATTATATATATACATGTATTCATGTAAATCATTTCATGTAATTCATATCACGTATATCACATGTGCATATAAGCTTATAGCTTCTTTCACATATACATGTAGTCACATAGCTTTCTTTCATGTAACCATGCATGTCATGTCAAATAACATATATCATATGTTGCATTTTCAGTTAAGCATATAAATCATATAACATAGCATCCATCTATTTCTATGAATTAATGCATACATGGTAATCACATAACAATTTAGAAGTTACTTCTTACCATAGTAACTCCATTACTGGCTCATCACAAGCCAATGTTAATTCAATAAAATAAGTACAAAATAAATTGTACTCACCTTAGCTTTGCTTTGATTCGATTCTAATTCCTCAATTGTCCTGAAACGGATCACTTTCTATCTCTACATAACAATACACAGATTCATATCAATATTCCAATTGATATATTACTTCTTAGGCTAAGAGAAAAGCCCATTTCTTCTTTCAATGAAGGTATGCATCGATGCACTACTTGTGCATCGGTGCATAAAATGCATTCGATGTTTTTATTTTAAAAGGATGCATCGATGCATTATCTATGCATCGATGCATCAAAGGCATTCGATGTTCTTCTTTTAAAGGAATGCATCGATGCACTTATGAATGTGCATCGATGCACCTTGTCCAGAAATTGCATTTCAATCCCGAAATTCATCAATTCTTCATTCAATTCTTCTATTTTAATCCCCTATTATGACTTTAAACTCAACTATCATTATTGAAACCAACTTATGTCCATATAAATCATATTTATCTTCCATATTTCATCAAGATTCTTAAAATTAAGAATCTTACTAAACTTTCAAATTTGTTATAAATCTTTTCTAACTTCATAAATCTCTTATTCTTCTTGATGACAAGTCAAATTCCATCTTAAAAATCTCTTATTAACTCTTTTCCAAAATTTCCTTTAAAAACCCATTTTCTTTAATCTTTCATAACTTCTTTATCTTTCAATCTTAAGATAACCTAAGCTTTCCTTAAGCTTAGTTATTATCTAATGATCAAAACCCAACCATAAATTTAGCAAATAACCAACTAACAAAGAAACTCACCTTTGCAAGCTGGCTCTTCACGTTTGAGAGAAGATGAAGATGAAGAAGATAAGTCTAAAACTTATCTCTTCAATCATACCTCTCATATATTATAATACCCATTTATTAATATTTAATATTATCTTTGTTCAATGACCATTTTGCCCTTCATCTACTTTAATAATTACTAACAACTTTTAGGAATTATTTCCAAATAAATCATCGAATTATTCCATTCTTCTACTTAATTCATCAAATTCTTAAACTTTATAATTTAGCCACTAACCCCTAGTTTGGGATGTTACAAGAAATTTCCCATAGCCTAAGGAATTTAGTCCACAACTCCCCTGCTACCACACAAGAGAAGAAAAGGTGATCAACAAAATGTTGAGGTGAATTGGTGAAAAGGGTACTTCTAAAATTTCGAGGATAACATTTGGTTATGCTATTATTATTGTTATAGCTATCATTGTTACAATTGTTGGCTGCCTGATCTTGAAAATTTTTCTCCTATCAGACTCGCCAGTTTTACAACTTAGTTGGGGGAGGAAATAACCACTAGATTGAAGTCTCAAAATTATGATTTTTTTTCTGAAGTTGCTATAAATTAATGGGATTATTGATTTGATTGGTTCTGGGTAATTATAAAGGGCTGTGGCATGTTCTGGTACTTGTTACTCAATGATTTAATGATACATAAGATTGCTATTTTTTGCTATTCCTGAATGCTAAAAGCAGTAACCCTTTATAAATCAGAACTATTTCTTAGTATTGCATGAGTTTACAAATGCTTGAAGAGCCTTGATCAATTCATAATTTTATGAAATTTCACTGTGTTTATATATATAATAACTGATACTTAATATTATACCATTAGTAAAATTGTATTTCATTGATGTTAGCCTGATACATGAGTTTTGTTCACAGCACTTCTGGATGCCCGTTTGGTGAGAGCTGTCATTTCTTGCACTATGTTCCTGGTGGCATCAAAGTGGTGTCTCAGATGCTTGGTAGCAACCCAGCTCTTCCTACCGCTTCCAGAAATACAGCAGTCCCACCATCCTTCCCCGATGGCTCATCTCCTCCATCCGTGAAAACCCGTTTGTGCAACAAATTCTGCAGCCCTGAAGGTTGCAAGTACGGTGACAAATGCCATTTTGCCCATGGGGAGTGGGAGCTTGGCAAGCCAACTGGTCCTACTTATGAAGATCCTCGTACTATGGGATCTATGCCAGGAAGGATGGCTGGTAGGATGGAGCCACCCTCACAGGGTCTTGGTGCTGCAGCCAGCTTTGGAGCATCTGCCACTGCCAAGATCAGCATTGATGCATCCCTTGCTGGAGCTATCATTGGTAAAAATGGTGTGAACTCAAAGCATATTTGTCGTGTTACAGGAGCTAAGTTTTCCATAAGAGACGACGGGTCAGATCCTAGTTCAAAGAACATTGAGCTGGAGGGAACATTTGATCAGATCAATCAAGCTAGTGCAATGGTTAGGGAACTCATTCTAAATGTTAGTTCATCGTCTGGAATTAGCAAGAAGAATCCTACTATGGGTGGCTCGGGTTCGGCGAACAACTTCAAGACTAAGCTTTGTGAGAACTTTTCCAAAGGATCCTGCACTTTTGGTGATAGGTGTCATTTTGCACATGGAGCAGAAGAACTACGCAAATCTGGAATATGATTTCCTCATGCTTTATGTTAGGTAAAAACCCTTTTCTGTTTATTTTGCTGTACTATGAGTTTTTGTTTTTGCCGAATGCAATGGTAGCTTGAAGTCTCAGTTTTCTAGTTTTCTTTTTCCCCTTATTTCTTATGTTTGGTGTTTTTTCCTTGCATACCTAATCTAACTTTCCTGCTGGCGACTATCCATCCATTATTGCTCAAAAACGAGAGTCTACAGTTCAGCAGAACAACTAAAGACATTACTTCTTTTTGACAACGTCACAGTATTTTCCCTTATATGTTATGAAATTTCTATAAATAGTTCTAAGAATCAATTAGAAAACTAAAAAACTTTTTCTACATGTTTACAGCAGTATATGACATTTAGCAAATATAAATATATTCAAAACTTTAAAACTGTGAAGCAACAGAGCATCATCTTCTTCCTGAAATTTAGAGGTCTGTAGTAGAAGAAATTATGCCATATAGCTCCTTTGCTGTCCATGTTACATCAGCAAGGCTTCTTAGAGGACCCACCATCTCTTCTGCAATTGTCATTAGCATGACCCTGTATTCTGCAATACATAAGGGAGATGGTCATTTTATTGTTTAAACCATAACTCGAACTTCATTGTTTCAAATCTGAACCACTTATATTTTCCGTAAGCTGATTCCTCTGGTTTGAAAACGATGGTTAGATATATTAAGGAACGTAGTAAAGAGTAGCTGCTAACCTGCAATTTTACTTAAGTTCAGCAAAGACATCGAAGCAATAATCTTATGTTGAACTTGTGCACCACTTTCAAGGCTTTGTTTGAGCTGGGAGATAAGAGTGCATAAGGTCTGCTGCAACTCGGTATCATCAGTTGGCGACGGTAATATACTGGTCAACCACGCTACAGTTGCTAGGCAGGCAGTCACCAAATCCCTGTTTCCCATGGCTAAACAGTTAGAAATAGCCTCTAAAAATGACTTGTTGCCGCTTCCAACTAGTAACACCGACAAATTCCGCAACCACTTCGCAATGGCTTGTTCTTCATCTTCCTGGTTATTATAGAAGAATGGACAATTACACCAGTCCCATATGAATATAATGGAACAAAGGAGAAATAATGGTGAATGGAACTTAGAGATGAAACTTACTGATAGAGTACTGTCACCAATATCTAAATCCGCTTCTTTTACGATAGAATTTGCGTGACTGCCATCTTTGAACCCAGCTACCTTCAGAATCCAGTCCTCTGTCAATAACTTCCCAGACAAAGAAAAACGTCCTCCAAGGATAAGTAGCGCTTTGCAACATTTTTCTTGAACCCCCTCATTGATTAAGCTGCTATCCAGTGCTTCTGTAATGGCATCAACAGCCTGCTGTCTGTATAAGCCATATTTTTGAGGATCTATCTGCAGTACATGTTCATCTCAGTCTTGAAACAGACTTACTCCGATATTAATAAATGAAAACAAAACAAATGATTGAGAGAAAAAATGAGTAAACAATCGGAATAATAATATGAAAAAAAAGAATCAACATTTAGAATATACTATTAAATCCAACAAGCTTACCAGCAAATCTATGTTCAACAACAGTGTGGCAACCAAGGGTCTTTGTACAAGAGGAGAATTTTGGAGATAATCATGAATAGCATGCATAATATTCGTTATCTCTTCATTCTGCAAATCACTCAGAATCAGTAACCGAACAGACGGTGCTCACCCGAATCAATATCGAATGAAAGCTCTCATTTTCACTCATAACTAGGCCATGCTTTCATAAATCATAATTGCATATATTTGCTAAAGTTTTTTTACTTTTCTGATGCTTCCACTATAGGGAAACTTTACTATCTCTCTCGGGGTAGCACGCTGTCTAGTAGAAAGATTAGAAGGAACTCTTCTCAGAGTCTAACCAAACGCTTAGATTACCCTTTTTCCCCCTATCTACCTTATGTTGAACCTTTCATAGAAAAATTAAATATCACAAACCTGCTCAAGCATATCAGTTCTGCCAGTAACAACACTGCATTTGTCCTCGAGTTTACTCGCTTGCTGCAAACCAGCTTGAATAGACACTGTTTGTTAATGTCTCTCGCTATTTGATATCTGGAGACTGAATCTGCTTCAATGCAACAGGAAAGAAGTGCTGCGACACGTACGTTCTCTTCCATGTTTCCTGGTTTAAACCTTTGAATGAGAAATGGCAAAGCTCCGAGAGAAATAAGGTGTATGGTATTCATTATTCTTTCTTCTTTGCTTAAAGTGGTAAGAAATTGGTCTAAAATAAATATAGCCTTTCCCCCCCTCCTTAGTAACCCATGTTCCTTTGGATTACCAACTATTTGAAAGGCCAATGCCAAGTTTTTCATACAATTGTCCGATTTCCAACTGTCGATTACCCGTTTCAAAATAATGTTGGTATGCGGCACCAACAGATAATCCAATGATTTCCCTGTTACTGGACAAGTTATTTTTCCCTGATTAAACCACTCCTTGATGGCCATTCTCTCAAAGGTTTGACCCGTCTCCAAAGTCACCGGGTCTTTGAACAACTTTCCTGTCAGAGGACAAATAAAGTCCTTGTGTATGCTTGAGAATAAGGATTCTTCATCAGAACATCCATAAGTTTCATACAACTCTGCATCGAGACAAGATCAATATGAACAACCAATTTGAACCCTTGAATATAATCACAACTGCTTGTCCTTCAACTTACCTTCACTAAAGTTAGGAAGACCAGAGAGAGTAAGATCATCTGTGATCTTAGTTTGTTGCAGCTGAAATGCCGATTTTGCTAGCCTTTTGAGCATGAGCTCATTGGCAGTTAAAGGAACAGGTGAATGTAGCTCATCGTAATCTTGTGCAGTTGTCTTCCATATGTTATAAGCCTCTTTTTCTTGCAGCATGCTCAGTCCTGGCAGTCTCCATTCTTCCTCGGCTGTTGAGGAGATGCCATCTTCCTGCACCATAGTTAAATAAGCTTTATTTCTGATTGTCTACTTCCGCATCTCGGGAAATCTTATCGGAGTGTCACTGGTATAGGAACCATATTTTCTACTCGGTAGATTCTTTAACATAAACTATAAACAAATATTTTGTGAAAGCAAGGCAAAATGGACCATAAGTTTGCAAAGAAATAAAAATGAGGCTTTATATTTGATAAAAGTTGCTTACAAGAAAGGATGCATCATCCCGCGGACTTTTGGAGGAAGCTTCGCCATGATTTTGGCATGGATATTTCACCGTCTCTGAAGAGAACGTTAATGTCTGTTTAACATAAATAGAAGAGATATCTGAGCTTTTCCCGCATGTATCATAGTAATGTAACTCGTTATCTCCGGTTTCCTCTAGTCCGGGTTTACTGGATCGTCCAAATACAGCATCATATAACTTTTTACTCACCATCGGCTGAGGTGAGAAAGGACTAGTTGGACTAGCTAGATCTGGAGAATGAGCAAGTGAATCCTCTTGTTGAATTTTTCCGACTGATACGGACGGAACATGGATGGAAGGGAAAGGAGGAGCTTCTATACCCTCGGTGAGCCAATCCTTGTAATAAGAAGCTAATTGGTAAGTGCTAGAATCCACGGTTTCATTGTACACTTTCTCAAGAAGCTTCAGTTTCCTCTCCCTGCTTGGTGCATCTGATAGAGAACTAGCTTCCTGATTGTACCAAGCCTCGAGATGTGAAAGATGTGGGCGAAACAAATCGTCCCACAGTTCGGGCAAGAGATTCGTCCGTGCCTGAGAAGGTGAATCTCTAAACACTTGCAGAAGATGCCTTGCCGAAACCCTGTCCTTCTTTTGTAGCTTATATATCAAACTTAGGTAAAGATGAGCACATGAGGACAGCATTGCGTTAGGAAACCCGTGCGTGAAGCTGTCCTTCAAGTCGTTCGAATTCAAGCCAGTTATCACACTAAGCTGCAATGAAGCCTTTTTCAGTTCTTTTGCATTGACACACTCTCCAATGGCTTTCTCTACCATCTCGATTGCTTGCTCAAGGTTGACAATGACTTTGTCTTCAATGTCATTGTCTTCTAGTCCGATAAAGTCGAGGGAGGAGAAACATTTGAGACGAAGAACATCACGGAATTCGTCGTCTCGGATAAAGCGTTTAATATAACTGCTTAAGATGGATACAAGTGCTTGAATAGCAACTTCATCAAGGGCAGGTTGAGAAACCATTGGTACCGGATCATCATGCTTTTCGTGGTGGCCATCTTTAAAGCTTTTACGATTCCGTGAACCTCTGTTAGCATTGTCATAAGCAGCATCCTGCAGCTTCAAGTTGTTTCGATGATTATCACTATAGCTTCTTCGACCAAGTAGGTATTTAGTAGAAGCATCATCGTTCCTTTTATCTCGTCTCCCTAAACTGTGCCGCCCGACATTAGCAAATACATCCTTCACTCTCTCGGTTTCTTCCACTCCTATCTCAACGATCTCGTTTCCCCGAAAATCGTCCTCTCGCCGATCACTAGAACCTCCTCCTTCAAGCCTGTTTTTATTTCCATTTTTCATTTCAGCATATAGGTTCTCTCTTCTAACAAGATAATCTCTTGGCCTCCTAAGCGTGGTACTATCACTACTCGACAATTCACCCTTCGAGCTGTACCGAGAAACATCGGACCTCGTCCTCTCCGTCCTCACTCTGTTACTAAACGGCGAATCCAGCTTGCTCAAGGCCTCTAACCTGACAGATGATCTCAACCTTGTAACCGAAGTCCTTCCTCTAAACCCTTCCTCTGCAAGAAGCTCCTCCAAAGATGATGCCATTTCTTTATGCTGTTAAGAGTCCCCCCTTGTATGCTAAATCCTGTTGCAAAGAAAGATTGGCACCAGAAATAGCTACGAATTTAGTTCATCTGAAATGGGATTTCATCAGAATACATTCATTTTAACTATCCGAGGGAAATTTCACTTGTAAATGCTTGCATTTGGCCAAAAGAGAATCACCGTACTCATTAAACATGCAAAACAACAAAGATAAATATGATAGAACTACCTGAACTACCATAATAAAGTAGGCATTAAACGCCAATCGACAATACTTTGCGTCAAAATGGTGAAAAATATCATTAGAAGACATAAGCAGTAACTAAAAAGTACATAAAAATACATACTCTTCGCTCATTAAATCGAGTTTTCAATCTGATTCAAATTGTTCAACACGAAACCCAAAACCCATATCTTGGTAATAGACAATGTAAACCGAGTTGCACTCGAGGCTGAGTGGAAAGCAAACATGAAGAACAACAAAGAATCGTGTAGGATCTGAAAAGAACGGAATATATAAGCAGGAGATGCCGAGGGAGGAAAAGCCATGGGCACATAAATGACGATAACATTGGGTATCAAGGCAAGAGTCGAAGGCTTCAAGACCGACAAATGAAAGCAGACATAATGGAAGCTTTTTTGTTTGTTTGTTTATGTGTGTGTGATGTCAACAGTATCTAATATATTCCACATTTCAATGTTTTTTGTTTTTGTTAATTAATAATTTCAACAGTTAGCTGCCGCCCTTAATGGCTTCATCTTTGTCTGAATATAAAAGTTGTTTTGAAATTCGGTTTTAATTTATTATAATATATTTTTAATTAATATTTAAATAAATAATTTAATACATATACAAATACACCAAGATGATATGAAATTATAAAAATTATTTTCAAAAAAATTATTTTGCAATGTGACGTGCTAGTAAGGATTAAATTGTATAGGCATAGAATGAATAGGGTGGATAATGTAAATAGGTAACTTTATGTTGATTGGGGGTTTATATAATAGAAAATAACTTTAGTGACCGAAAATGCCTTATAATATACGATTTTAATCAACTTTTTTTGAATTTGCCAAAATGACCAACAAAATCGCAACGCGAACTCCAATTTCACAACTCAATTTCCAGATTCGCAACGCGAATCTGTAATTCGCAACGCTCGCAAAACGTGAAAATCTTGTGTAACGCAAAACACAAAACGCCTTTTTTCGATAGAGAAAATAACATCAGTGAAACAAGTGTTGGTAATGCTCAATCCCACATAGTATTGGAAACATTATTGGGAATGGGTATTTAAGGCTTGGATTTCCTACTTCCTTGTTGAGTGAAAGAGAACAATGGGGACTCTTGCGCACCGCTGCCGCCGTCCGTCTCGTCTCAGGCCGGGTCGGGGTCGTGGTCGTAGTAATACGTGTCTTCGACACGTCTGCGTGGATACTATTTTTTTAGAGAAAATTCTTAAGAAACAAATGCAATACCATCAGTCGCGTTGCGATTTTGGAAGATCGCGTTACGAAACTGAAAATCGCGTTGCGAAACTGAAAATCACGTTGCGAAGCTGAAAATCGCGTTGCGAATCTGGAAGATCGCGTTGCGATTTTTATATTCGCGTCGCGAATAAAAAAAAGGCGTTGCGAATCTGGAAACTGAGTTGTGAAATTGGAGTTCGCGTTGCGATTTTGTTAGTCATTTTGACAAATCCAAAAAAATTGGTTAAAATCGTATATTATAAGATATTTTCAGTAACTGAGGTTACAGTCTTTTTGTAGCAGCTATAGATAAATGATTATCAAAAAAAAACTTTTAAAAGTTAATTTTAATTCAATTAAAATAAAATAATTTGATTTTATTATACTTCAAAAGAAAATCTTCAGAAATTACTAGTTCTTCATCAATTAAAACCCCTCAACTCCGCAATATTTTTTTACATTTAATATATATATATATATATATATATAATTTGAATATTAATGAAATAATTATAAATTATTTTCACCTTTTAAATGTTTATATTTTATCCCTCTCAAGTTGGGATCATGATTTTGTCTTGACCTTAGATAGATTCCTCTGTTTATGGAAGTTGTAAAAGGATTTTTAATATCTGAAACGCATAGACAAGATTCTTAGATAGACCCACATGATTTATCAGTGATAATTGAGTTTATATAGCTCGTTAGTCTACAAATTGTCATAATAATTCTACAATTGACACATACGCTAAATATTATTATAAATACCTCTAATTAAAACCGAGAAAGAAGACAAACCTCCAATATCCTAATCCATCTTCATCTTTCGATCATTTCTTTCATACAAAGAAACATCGATCAACGTTTGTTTTTTTATTGACGGTAACTCTCTATCTAAAGTAAAATAAATAAAGACGAAATAAATCATTGTCGTCAACAAACTTATGGAAATTGAAAGATTAAATTATTAAAATACATAAACGCTAAAATCTAAATTTAACGTCGCAACTTTTATGTTTTTTAAAAAGGGTTGTCTGTCTTGTACCTATGAGTTTGATAAGCAAACTCCATATAGTTTTTCTGGTTAAAACGATGGTGAAAGAGACAATGAAGAGTGAGAAACAATATAGGCAAAGGATTATGGTTTCTTTAAGTTTCTCCTTGTATCTTTACAATTGAAGGCAATCAATTAGTACAAAAATTATTTTACTAATGGTGTCCGTACTAAAATTTTATTTGTGTCCACCTCATATAAAAGTTTTAAGATATTAATATATGTGTCTACCTTAAACGAACATTTATGGATTCGCCACTTATTATTATAGAACATATTTCTCGGGAAGAAAATGGAACTCAAGTTTGTGAAAACTAAAAGATTAAGGGACAAATATTTTTACAAAATTCATCAAAGTCGAAGGTTATTGAAGAATGGATGAAATATCTACCGTAATAAAAAAGTTTAAAATAGATGAATGAACTAGTCATATGCAAACTCTATATAAAAGTTTGTGAGATCGAACACTGGAGGCTGGCAGGTGGATGAAGCTCCATAAAGAAAATGGCAGATGAAGATGATAAAAAGAAAAAAAGAAGTTGCAAGGGAGAAGAAGGTTCTGAAACGATTAAACAAAGCAGTCCTTTTTTGTAATAAATTAAACGCACAGCTTTCTGAATGTAAAACATGAGTACAGACAACAGCTTAAAGTAAATACAAACACTTTAGCGTTTTGTAGGCAACAACAGCTAGCACTTGGAGTTTATTAAACTTCAGAGAAACGAGAAAATGCACGGTGAAAACAATTTAGGTTGTTTGAGGAAAGAGGCGAATGGGCAGGCCTTTCGCTGGCATTGGAATTGGGTCTACAATGATGTTCTCATGGGGAAGAAGCTTCTCCCACTTGTACCTCTTGATAATATGGTGCATGAAAACTAGTATTTCAAGGCGAGCATACTCCTTCCCCGGACACATTCTCGGTCCTCCTCCGAACGGAACGTACGTGTAAGGAGCCGGTCCGTTTCCTTCAAACCTTGATGGGTCGAACTTCTCAGGCTCCGGAAAGCATTCCGGATTCCTATGGGTTGAATGAGTACTCCAGTACAACTATACATATGTACACACGTTAATATAGATAGATAAATAGATAGATAGATCGAATGGTTGATTTAAGGACGGACCTTCCAACCCTTTGGAATGGCAAAGCTGGAATATATGAATTCGTTGAGGGCTTCTCTAAAGGCTCCTTGGAGAGGAGGAGCAAGACGCATTACTTCACATGCTACGTTCCATGAGTACTTCATCTTTTGAATGTCTTCCCAATTCAGCAGCTCTCCCGGGGCTTTTGATTCTGCTATCTCCATTTGCTCTGCATATGTAATTATTTGATTAAACACACTTTTATCCCTTAATATTCATGGTTAATTAATATGTACCAAAAATTCTAATTAAGAGATTACCTTTCAGCACTTTGTGGTAGATCTCGGGTAGCTCGGCAAGGTACTTGACGACGAAAGTGATGGCAGCACTTGCAGTATCATGTCCACCGATAAGCAAACCAAGAATCTTATCCGCCACATCCATTTCATTCATGTACATCCCATTCTCGTCACACGTTAACAGCATATGTGACAGTATATCTTGCGTGGGGGAGGCTTTTTGCTCGGCCAGATCGATCTTCCTTCGTTTGATAATGGCTTCCAGTTCTTGCCTTACGATGTTCGAAGCCTTGATGGCACGGTTGAACGGTGTTCCGGGCAAGTCGATGGGGATCGACATAACCCCGGAGGCCAAAACGTTGAAGGGACGTGCCAATCGCGCGACTTGTTCCGGTTCCTCGATGCTCAAGAACACCTTGCTCGCCACCCAGAAGGTGTAGTTCTTTGCGAGTGGGAACATGGATACTTCTGACTGTCCTTCCCAATAAGTTTTGAAGTGTCTTTGTGCGATGGAATCCATAATCCCGACGTATCTGTGCAAGGCCTCCGGTTTGAGGAAATTAGGGAGTAGCTTCCTCATCTTCTTGGCCTCCTCCGTCGAAGACGTTTGCATGGAGGAAGGGAATATCTTGTTGACGGATTCCGGCCACCACGCGGTGACAAGCTTGTTCTCATTCGAGAACAAGAACTTGTTCCCGGCCGCCCCACAGAAAACAGCCGTGGGATTCCCCAGTATCGATGTTTTAAAGACTCGAGAGTGGTACTTGGCCATCCTATCGTATATGAACTTCTGAGGGTGACCCTTTCGACCCGTCGACAGAAATTCGAGGCTCTCGCCGATGAACGGCAAGCCTGTTCGGCCTAGTGGAAGGCTTGTGCTGGAACAACAACCATTGGTGGAGGAAAAGATAGCCAAAAGCGAAAAGGTGACGAATAGAACGAAAAGAGTGAGACCACATAGCAAAAATAACTCCATATTTTAAGTTGTCAGGCTTTTGAGATGATGCAGTGAAGGAGATTATCATACCACATATTTATATGTGTTACTTGTAGAGTTGGAATCACGGGCTCTATTCTTAAATTTACTAAATTTT